CGGCGGCCGCCACTGCGTGTCCCAGCTCCGTGGTTTCTCACCTGCCACGTGGCAACGGCCTCCTCGTGGGCCTCTCTGCCTTCGCCCCCTCCCTCCTGCAGTCCTTGCAATCAGATATGCCCCCAAACTCAGCTCAGATGAGGTCACTCCTTGGCTTAGCATTTAAGAGGCTCCGCAGTGTTGAAATTCTTTCAGACCTTGTATTCGTCTGCTTGGGATGCAATCTCAAAGGACCATAGACAGGGCGTCTTTAAACAACAGAAATTTATTTCTCCTAGCTCTGGAGGTTGGAAGTCGAGAACAGGGGGCCAGCGAGATCGGCTTCTGGTGAGGGCTCTCTTGACGGCTGACAGACGGCCGCCTTCTTGCTGCTTCCCCACGTGTTGTGCCGAGAGGGAGCTTTCCCTTTTCTTATAAGGCCACCAATCCTATCAGAGTAGGGCCTCACTCTTATGACTTCATTTCACCCTGATTACCTCCTAAAAATCCTGCCTCCCAACACAATCACATTGGGGTAAAGAACTTTAACATATGAATTTAGGAGGGGGATAAAATTCATGCTAACACAGACCTCAAATGTTTATTGAACAGGTAGCGTGTGCTGGGCACAGGTCTAGGGGCGGGGGATAGAGAAAATTGAACAGTGGGTAGGCAGAAAACAAGTATTGCCTGAATATGTCTTTAGATATATGTAAATGAATATAAGATCTAGAGATACAATTATGTACGTACACATGCAGTATACGCATCCGCTCACAATAGTCAAAGGGAGGCGGGGCGCGGTGGCTCACGCCTGTAATCCTAGCACTCTGGGAGGCCGAGGCGGGCAGATTGCTCGGGGTCAGGAGTTCAAAACCAGCCTGAGCAAGAGCGAGACCCCCCGTCTCTACTAAAAATAGAAAGAAATTAACTGGCCAACTAAAAATATATAGAAAAAATTAGCCAGGCATGGTGGCACATGCCTGTAGTCCCAGCTACTCGGGAGGCTGAGGCAGGAGGATCACTTGAGCCCAGGAGTTTGAGGTTGCTGTGAGCTAGGCTGACGCCACGGCACTCACTCTAGCCTGAGCACAAAGTAAGACTCTGTCTCAAAAAAAAAAAAAAAAAAAAAACAATAGTCAAAGGCAGTGATAAGTACTAGGAGGAAAAACAAAGGTGACGGTGGTTAGGGAACAGAGAATACCAGGGAGGTGACGCTGTTTTAAAGAATGATCAGGAAATATCTCTGACACCTTGACATTTCAGCATTCAGTGGTCAGCCACTGGAATCTCATCCTTTAGAGCAAGAATCTGCAAACTTTTTCTGTAAAAGGCAAGATAAATATTGTCAGCCTTGCGTGCCAGCGGTCTCGGGCTCCGTGACATGAGTCAGCAGCCAGCTCTGCCTTGTCAGGCAAGAGCAGTGACAGACAGCGTAGAAACAAGTGAGCGTGGCTGCGTCCCAGGCAACTATATTTATGGACACCGAAACTTGAACTTCCTATAACTTTTGTGTGTCACAAAATATTCTTCTGCTTTTGATTTTTGTATTCAGTGATCCAAAAAATGGAAAAGTCCTTCCTGGCTCATGGGGTGTGCAAACACGGGCAATGGGCCACAGTTTGCAGGCTCTCGGTATACATTTGTTGAACGAGAGAAAGGACAAAGGAGGGAGAGAGGAGAAAGGAAATCAGAGCTTCAGGATCCTGCAAAGTAGGGTTCTCAGCTTAGGGCCCCGGGCTCACATGCTCTCACCTACTGTGTACGTGAGTGCCTACTGTGTGCCAGGAACTAGTACTCCGGGTCTCAGCCGTAGAGTGACTGTCATCCCACAACTAAAAAAAGCATCGTACAGCTGCCTTCTCTGAAGCAGCCGTCTGCCCACTGTGGCCGCTGCCTGTTTTCCTTGCAACCCACGAGCTAAGAAGGGTTTTTCCATTTTGGGGATCCTTGAATACAAAAAGCAAAAGCAGAAGATTTTGTGCCACAAGAAAGTTCTAGGAAGTTCCAATGTCGCCTCCCTGTTTCCTTCGGGGTCTGGTTTCCCGGAGGCCTCTGGGGCTCCCTGAGCAAGGAGGTGTGGGCGCAGCCTTCGAAAGGCCCAGCAGGCTCACGCTCGCTTTGCAAATTTCAGGGCGGGCTTCCCATCTCCCACTACCTGAAAGCTTCCGGAAAAGGACGCCTGTGGCCACAGCCCAAAGCCCGTTTGTGCCCTGTGGCCGATGTACCGCCTCCCGAGTGCGGCTAGTCTGCACTTTGAGCAGGAGGACTCCAGGCCCACTCGGCAAAGGCGTGTGCGCCCTGCCTGCAGCGCCCCTGGCTGCTATATTCGTCTCCCCGTTTGTCCCCCGCTGAGTCATCTCATATTACCGCTGGCTAATTAAAACATCAAAGCCCCACGTACAACAGCCCTGCCAGCGGCCTCCTGATGCCTGGTTTCAAGGGTGCCATCCAGTGAAACCCCCCCGATCCCCGGGTGCAAGGTGGCAGGGCTGGCGCCCGGGCAGCCAATGACTGGGCACTTGAGGACGTCCCCGCACACGCCTGGGCCCTCAACAGATGGCCTCTTTCATTAGGGCCTGTTTCGTCTCTCCTGCGAAGAAGGCTGTCGCCCACCGGCCACACCCCACGCCTCCTCGCCATGCCTGGCCCCCTGCCCGCCCCCGGGTCCTGGGCCCTACCCCAGCGCCGGCCCCACATCTGTCGCCCCACCCCCTGAGCGTGGGTGGACAAGCGCGTTTCCAAACCGGAGAAGCGAAACCCGGTATTTAGGGAGAAGGGCTGGGCCGCCTTCCCCGTGGGCAAGGTAGGATTGCTTTTTTTCAGGCGTACGGGTTGTGGGCACGATCGGCGGCATATGTCACTACAGAGCCCTGCCCACGTGGGACTTCTGTCATCTGTGCGTGTCCTGGAGGAGACAGGGGCGGAGACAGAATCCTAGGGAAGCGTCTAGGGCGTCCGGCCAGGGCCCCCAGGGAGGCGGGGTGGCTGGCCCGCAGCTTCCTGCAGAGACAAGAGTGAGGCGACTTGGAGCTCAGCAGGGCGGAGAGTGTAGACGCGGGACGAAGGGAAGAACTCATCCCACCTGCTGCCCAGCGTGGGGGCCGCGTCGGAATGACACTGGCAGCAGTAGCGGTGATCGTAGTACGCATGCCAGGCGTTGGGCTGGTAGCAGCGTAGTAATAATACTCCTGGTAGTAAGCCTAGGATGCCTGACATCTAGGAGGTGACTCTGCAGTCATCCAAGCGAGAGGTGACGGCGGCTTGGGCAGGTGCTGGCCCTGGCGGGGCGGGGAGCGGGTGGATTCTAGAGCTATTTAGAAGTGCAGGCGGGGGCAGTGGTGGCTGGGTGCGGGAGACAAAGTGGGGGCTGTGTTAGGGCAGGTCCCGCCTGTGGCTTGTCCAAAGTGGAAGCCACCGCGGAGGACCGGCCCTGGCCAGGGCAGTGAGATCGCGAGTGGGAGATCGTGAGTCCCAGCACCTTCCCTCTGTTCCCTGCCGTCGCTCGCTGCACTCTTCCGGAACTCTCTTCAGTGGGAGCGTGCGGTTCACCCCGCCTCCTGTTCCCCAGGCTGCGACATGGCAGCGAGAACACTTTAGCCCAGAGCTCCGGGTCCGCTGGCCAGTGAGGTGGCCATGGTGGGTCTGTCGCCCCAGGACCTTTGCACAGCCGTGGCTCGTTCAGTTGTCAGCCCGCCCCACTGGACTGTGGCTCCTCGGGGCCGCTGTAGCCCTGGTCCCGGCTGCCTTGCCTGGCACACGGGTACCCAGAGAACATGTGTTGAATGAGCGAAGGATGCATGGTGTCTGGGAGGCAGGGTAGTCGAGCAGCTAAGGGCGAGGTTTGGGAGCCAGGCTGCCTGGGTTCCACCCCTGTATACAGCTTACTGGCTCTGGCCAACCTAGGTAACCACTCTGTGCCTCAGTTTCCCAGTCTGTAAAATGGGAATGATAAGATTGTTGTGCGGCACCTCATAAGTGCTCGTTCAATGTTGGTTTTCAGTTTTAGGCCTTCAGGGTTTTCTGTGACTGCTGCCGTGGACTTGGCCAATTTCATCGTAATTCACAGCTGTCCTCGCCAGCCTGAGTTCCTCCAAGCCAGCGAGACGCAGGCCCTGCCTCCTTGTTGATTTCATCTCCTCGCACCCACTCTCACCCGCACACTCCAGCCCCTGGCCCTTTGAACTGAAGAAGCTCATCCCTACCTCAGGGCCTTTGCACTTGCCTTTCTCCCCGCCGCCATCACCTGCCCCCTGTTTTCTATTCTTGTTGCCACCTGAAATGATACTGTCCGTGCATTAGTCTACTTATTATTTATCTCCACCTCTCCCACAATAACATTCCAGAAGGGCAGTGACCCTGTCTGTGTCGCTCACTGCTGTATCCCCAGTGCGTGTTTGTTGAGCGCATAGTAGGTGCTCAGTGAACACCAGTTGAATGTGCAAAGGCCCTGAGGCAGGAAAAAGCCCGGCATTCTTGAGAGGCAGACGCCTGAAATTTGAGGACAATAGTCTGTGCTTTAAAACTTTTCCGTTTAAACCTGTTTTCCAACTACTTCACATAAATGATGAGTTTGGGCTGGAGCAGGAAGGCCCAGAAATCCGAGTAAATTGACCCAGCTTCATATCGATTCCTCAGTACTGAGGGCTGTTATGATTCAGAGAGGTCCATGGTGCCCTGTCAGTCATTTATTCACTCAACAAACATTCACAGAGTCCCTGCTCAATGTGCCAGACCCTGTGCCAGATGTCAAAGAGACCACGTTTGAGTTCCTGGCCTCTCTTTCTAGAACAGAACCCAAAGGGCTCTTCCATGGTGCTTCTTCCTGCACAGGTGGAGGGACCAGGTTATACCAGGAACCTTGTGTCGGCCAGGGATGGCTGGATCCCTCTCTGTGCACACTCTGGATCCCACTCAAGGCACAGCCCGGGAAGCACAGTGCCTCTGCCCGTCCCAGCGGAGACAACTTCACAGTCCACCCAAGACCGTACCTGACGTTCCACCTTTCTCCCCTCCTGCAGCCCCCTGCCTCGGGAAGACAGTCCCCCACCAAGAATGGCAGCCCCTCCAAGTGTCCCCGCTTCCTCAAGGTCAAGAACTGGGAGACTGACGTGGTTCTCACTGACACCCTCCACCTTAAGAGCACACTGGTGAGTACCCCAGGAGGGTGTAGACTGGGGTGTGGCAACCTCAGCGCTATCCCCATTTGGAGCCAGATTAGTCTTTGCTGTCGGGGACTGTCCCGTGCATTGCAGAGTGTTGGGTACAACCCCCTCTGGGCTGTACCCATCAATGTCAGAACTGCCCGCCAAAATCGTCACCATCAAAAACATCTCTAAGACATTGCCTAACATCCCCTGGCCAGGAAATTCACCCCTGTTTGGTAACTACAGGTAGATGCTCACTCACTTACGTGAATACCTTTTATTCGTGTACCTGGGTCACCAAAGAACCTAAGGGGAGTTGCCGGCCCCGAATACGTTCTCTTTGTAGTCTGACCACCGATTGGTATCAAACACAGCTTCCTCGATTTCACAGTGTGTTCTTGGAATATTTATTTCACATTTTTCACAGTCAACAAGCCTACATCTTGCTCTCCGTTTTTGTTGAACATGGGCCTCTTGGGGGAACGTTGTCTCTGTAAGCTACCGCTGAGTAACAAACTGCCCCGAAACGTAGCGGCTGGACACGCTATTCTGCAGATATCTGAGGAGTCCGCTAAGGGAAGGCTGGTGTAGGCTGGCCCTGGCTGAGATGACTCCGCTCTGTTTCCCGTGTGGTCCCTCCTATCCCAGCAGGCTAGCTTCGGCTTGTCACTTGCAGGCACAGGGTTCTAAGGGAACAAACAGAGGCATGCAAGATCTCTTGTGGCCCAGGCTTGGAACTGGCTCGGTGTCACTTCTGCCACATCCTGTGGGTCAAAACCAGCCCAGACTCAAGGAGTGAGGGGCCTGGCTCCACCTCCTGATGGGGAATTGCTATGAAGTCACATTGCAAAGGGCGTGGATACAGGGCTAAGGCGAACTGGGACCGTTTTTTTTGCAGTCAGTCTATCGTAGATGCGTTCAGATGAGTTTCTGCAGGTTCCTTCTTGATCAATGTGGAATCAAACAATATTCCAGAATCTAGTACCAGTGATTCTGATTCCTAGGCAGAAAGCTCCTGTCGCCCCCAGTTGAGTAGAGCGAACACACGTTAGGGACCTTAAAACGCGGGGTATCGTCCCTGACCTTGGCTGGTGACCGTGCCCAGCGACGATTTAAAGCCGGCGCTTGGGAAATCCTCTTTGAGAATGGCGGGCCCCGGGCAGACTCGCCCGCGACTGGCAGATCCAGGCGCGCGGCCGGACACCTGCCACGCTGGGGCGCGACCGGGCGATGGCCACATATCTCTGTCTTCCAGGAGACGGGCTGCACGGAGCACATCTGCACGGGCTCCATCATGCTGCCCTCCCTGCACACGCGGCGGCCCGAGGACGTCCGCACGAAAGAGCAGCTCTCCCCTCTCGCCAAGGAGTTCATTGATCAGTACTACTCGTCCATTAAAAGGCAAGTGTGTGTCAGCTCTGGGAAGCCTGGGCCAAGTCACTGAGTGCCAGGGACAGAGACGTGAGCTCCGGTCTTGTGGGTGGTTAAAGCAAGACCTGACCCCACGGCCTCTGCCCGCCACACACACGGGTCAGAAATCGGCAGCCCAAAGGGGACCCCCCAGAAGTGCTCTTGCTGGCCTGCAAAGAGCTGCTTAAAATTTGAAATATTTTAAACAATTCCATGCCTAGATATATATGTGTGTGTGTGTGGGTATATATATGTGTCGTTTCCTAGAGAAACTCTCCCACCTGTTCACAAGGAGGCATGCATAAGAATGTTCACTGGAACATTCTTTATGGTAGGGAAAATTACTCTTAAAGAGCCAGCAAGAAACCATATTAAAACCATCAACAGGAGAATGGGCAAGTAAGTTGTGCTATAGTCCAGTAATGGAATACTATACAACTGTAAAAAAGGAAGGGGTGGAGCTCTGAATGTTCACAGAATTGAAGTTCACAAATAATTTTGAGCAGAAGAAAGAAAAGTTAACTCATAGAAAGCTACATCCAATGTAATACCATCTATATAAGCTTTTTTTTTTTTTTTGAGACAGGGTCTCGCTCTGTCGCCCCGGGTAGAGTGCAGTGGGATCATCATAGCTCACAGCAACCTCAAACTCCTGGGCTCAAGTGATCCTCCTGCCTCAGCCTCCCGAGTAACTGGGACTACAGGCTTGCACCACCATGCCTGCCTAATTTTTTTTTATTTTTAGTAGAGACAGGGATCTCCCTCTTGCTCAGGCTGGCCTCAAACTCCTGAGCTCGAGCAGTCCTCCCACCTCGGCCTCCCAGAGTGCTAGGATTGCAGGCGTGAGCCACCGCGCCTGGCCCTGTACAAACTTATTAAACATGTAGTGTGACATTGTACATCTGTGGTCCCCAGTCCCTGGGCTGCAGACCAGTACTGGTCTGTGGCCTGTTAGGAACAGGGCCGCGCAGCAGGGGTGACAGCGGGCGAGCGACTGAAGCCTCATCTGTGTTTACAGCCGATCCCCGTCACTCGCATCACCGCCCGAGCTCCGCCTCCTGCCAGATCCTCCCCCTCCCAACCGGTCCGTGGAAACACTGTCTTCCATGAAACCAGTCCTCGGTGCCAAAAAGCTTGGGGACCGCTGTTGCACATGGTTTAGGGCTAGATACTCCTGGGGCAAAACCATAAATGAATATATAAGAATCGTAAACACCGGATTCAAGATAATAGTAGCAGTCACCTCTGGGCAGAGAGTGGGCTGTGACGGGGCAGTCATCCCTAAGGAACTGCAATATTATTTCTTAGGCTTGGGACATGGGTGTTTATTATAGTCTCCCATATATCTTTTGTAAGCCTAAATTTTTCCGTAATCATTTTTTTTAAACTTTCTAAAATTGAATTCATTGCCAACGTTTAAAAATTAGAAGGAGTAACATTTATCGGGTGTCAGGAGGGTGGGAGGGGGGACAGGCATATACAACCACAACGAGTGAGATGTGCACCGTTTGGGGGATGGACATGCTTGAAGCTCTTACTCGAGGGGGGAGGGGGGCATGGGCAATATATGTCACCTTAACACGTGTACCCCCATAATACGCTAAAATAAAATTTAAAAAATCAGATTCCCAGTTTCTCTTGAAAGAATATGGAGCAGCACTAGGCCCCATTCCTTTCGGGTGACAAAGCTGAGCGGTGGCCGTCCCCCTTTGGACAAGGCCTGGGGTGGCCTGTTTGCCGCAGTCCCCCCCCCACCCCGGCGGGTTCGGTCGTCTGTGCAGTGCCAGGCCCGCGTGGGCATTTGAGTTTGCAGTCTCTACATCCTGCTCAGACTGTCGCGGGCAGAAGTCAGCTGGGGACGTTCCGTAGCTCCCAACCTCCCGAGACAGCTCACCCCTCCCGCCAACCTCCGACTGAGGCGAGAGGGTGACGCTCCCGTGTCCCTTCCCTGCCCACTCAGGTTCGGCTCCAAAGCCCACATGGACAGGCTGGAGGAGGTGAACAGAGAGATCGAGACCACCAGCACCTACCAGCTCAAGGACACAGAACTCATCTACGGGGCCAAGCACGCCTGGCGGAACGCCTCCCGCTGCGTGGGCAGGATCCAGTGGTCCAAGCTGCAGGTGGGTGCTGAGGCTCAGACACCTCGAGGCCCTGCAGCGAGAGGAGGGCTGGGCGGGAAGGGCAGCCAGTGGAGCTTTAAATAAGGCTCAGCTCCTCCCAGGGGTGGCCATGGTGACAGATGGTGGCCACGGGGCCCCCAATTCTCACATCATGGCCAAATCTGGATGATAGCCATGTCTTATTTAGCCAACACAGGGATTCCTTGAAAAAAATTTTTTTTTATATCTCTTGGTAAGACTTACCAGTTTACCGCAGACCTTACCACTCCCTTTTGTCTTACGCTTCCTCTCTTCCATTATTTATCTGCCTGAAGGCATGAGTGTCTGTGTCCCTTGGCACGATTTTATTGCAGAGAATAATTTAAAGTTGGAGGTGGACTCATTATCAAGATGCAGGGGGTTGTTTAATTTTTGTGTTTGTTTTTAATCCCTAATCTCTAGTGACCTACCAGGAAATGTAACCAGCCCATTGAAACCCCCTCTCTGATCCACCACCCCTTTCCCGTATTCGCCCACACTCCATGCCTTCTTTTCGGGGAGTTTTCCTGGTCTGGCTGACCTTGGTTATTAGGATAGGAAAAGAAAATATAGAACCCAGCCTGGGAGTCAGCAGTGAGGTGCTGGTTACGGCAGCGGGGCAGCAGCTGGAGCGAGTTCCAGGGTCTCCTAAAGTTGGAAGGCCACGCTGGGGAGGCCGGGGAGGGAAGGAGGAGGTAAACCGATCCCACCCCACACCTCTTCTAGGTGTTCGATGCCCGCGACTGCACCACGGCTCACGGGATGTTCAACTACATATGCAACCACATCAAGTATGCCACCAACAAAGGGAACCTCAGGTGAGCTGACCAGCTGGCCGTGGGGAGTGGGGAGTCAGGCGTCTCCCCAGCATTGAGGCTGGGCTCTGCAGTCGGCTCATCTGCCAGAGAAAGGCTCCTCCTCTCAGCGAGAGGGGCCAAGCCGGGAGAGGTGTCCTGACACCCTCGTTCCATGTTCCTTCTCTTCTGGGACAGTCAGACGCCTGTGTGGTCTGCAAAGCCACAGCAACACGCATCACATTCAACCCGGCCTTGAGGGCAGGAAGAGGTAGCTTAGATTCCTAGGAATAGGAAACGCCCGTTGCTGGTGGTGACCTGCTTCTTCTTGTGTCCTGTTCTGTGGCTTGGGGCTGCCTCCAAATCTGCCTTGGTTGCAAAGGCAGTTTCTCTCCTGCTGTGGTGGGGACTGCTCCTTCAGGGAGCACGGAGCCGAGCCGCACCTTGCACTCCTCTTGCACCAGCACAGAGGACAAAACCCCAGGGAGCAGGCCCAGGCAGGAAGGCATCCGTGTGGCTGGAGGCTGCCACGCTGGCAAGTCCCAGCTGGGAGAGGGACAGCTGGCCGGGGCCCCACAGCAGCCGGCCACACCTGCTGATCCTGTTCGCTCCCTGCTGCTGTTGCAGCGTGTGTTCCCAGCTGCTCAGGGCCAGTCCCACCTTGGGGCCACCGCCAGGATGTTCCCACGAGCCCCCAGGCTACCCTGAGCTCCTCCAGAAGCAGGTTATTTGCAGTGAGCATGAGTTCTCTTGGCTGTGTCTCTTCCTTGAGAAGGAGACAGAGTGTTCCAGCTGCCCGGGTCCACCGGGAGGGAACGGGCCTGTGGCCTAAGCCCAGGCTTGCATGAGGAATCAGTATAAAGGTCTCCTTCCCAAGACACCGCACCCCTCAGAGAACACCAAAGAACCTTCCTGCGTACCCTGGCCTTCAACAGGGGACCCAGTCACGGTTGGACCCCCCAGGGAGCTTACGGGCTATTCTGGTGGTTTCAGGCAGTGCTATGAGCAGCCACTGGGAGGGGGCCCAGGCTGGGTGGGGCACCTCCACTTTTTCCAATCACCTGAAGTCTTCATGAGATCATCTATGAAAGAAAATATTCAGCTGATTCCTTTTTTTTTTTTTTTTTTTGAGACAGTCTCACTTTGTTGCCCAGGCTAGAGTGAGTGCCATGGCATCAGCCTAGCTCACAGCAACCTCAAACTCCTGGGCTCAAGCGATCCTCCTGCCTCAGCCTCCCGAGTAGCTGGGACTATAGGCGTGCACCACCGTGCCTGGCTAATTTTTTCTATATATGTTAGTTGTCCAATTAATTTCTATTTATAGTAGAGACGGGGTCTCGCTCTTGCTCAGGCTGGTTTCGAACTCCTGACCTCGAGCGATCCGCCCGCCTCGGCCTCCCAGAGTGCTAGGATTACAGGCGTGAGCTACTGCGCCCGGCCTGATTCTTTTTTATTTAAGTTTTAAACCCCACGTCTGAAAACGATGAGCACCACAGGAGAATGTATACCATGCTAGAGGGATAGTCCATGCATGAGAGAGGAAGGTCGAGGTAGAAGGAGGGAGGGAGACAGAATCTAAACCTTCCATCTGCCCTTCAGTGACACCGTGCTGCGGGCGCACACGTGCGGTGTGCAAAGCTAGTGTTTCCAAGCGTGCTTTCTAGAGATATGCGCCACACAAACACCCTTTATCTGGTGCTCAGCCAGAGAAGCAGAGATGGGTTTCAGCGCCGGAGGGAACACGGTTTGACTCATTCTGCGTTCATCTCCAGTACGGCCCCTCTGCTCAAAGACCCATGAGGCACCTTTGAACTTGTGTGATTTTCGCCTTGAGCCCGATTCTGGACTCCCCACACCCCCAGGTGGGACGCACGCCCTGCAGTAGGAAATGCCACGTGGTCTTGGGGAGAGAACAAGACCTTAAAAAAAGTGCTTGGGGGAAAAAGGCAGCCCCGGGAACTAGATGAGGCAGGCGTTGCCTCGTGGGCCAAGTGGCTTTGGGTTGGGCCTTGAAGGAGGACGCATGACAGGAGACGGGGCGTCCAGGCAAGGGGACCCGCAGGGCAAAGTCCCGGGAGGGAATGTGTATGAGGGAAATTCTGTGAGCAATGGGCTGGACCTGAGATGCCAGCCCCGTGTTGACACAGGGACAGGACGGCGTTTCCATGGCCTGGGATTCAGTCCACGGATGGACGGTGAGTGCCGCTGGCGAAAGCCCCCGGCATGAGATAACGTTGAACCACGTCGTGAAAAAGTTATTCTCCTTTCTGTTTTTTGGGTTTTTTTTTTCTTTTCCAATCCTTCTGATGATGCCAAGGCGAAAGGCTCAGTCTGGTGCTAAGACATCATTGACACCTATCTGACATTTGCTGATCTTCCGTTAGCAAAGAGACCAGGGCTTCAGCTAGGAGCTTTGGCAGATGACATCTTCCCACAGTTTTTCTTTTTAAGAGACAGGGTCTCTGTGTGTTGCCCAGGCTGGAGTGCCGTGGCACGATCATAGCTCACTGCAGCCTCGAACTCCTGGGTTCAAGCGATCCTCCTGCCTCGGCCTCCTGGGTAGCTGGGACTCATGGTGCGTGCCATCACACCCCATTAATTTTTTTATGTTTTGTAGAGACGAGGTCTCACTATGCTGCCCAGGCTGGTCTTGAACTTCTGGACCTAAACATTCCTCCCACCTTGACGTCCCAAAGTGCTGGGACTACAGGGGTGAGCCAGCCTGCAGGCCTCTTTCCACAATTTAATAAAATAATACGGCCTTCGAGGTTCCTATTTAGGTAGGCAAGGCCAGTGTTTGGCAACCTACCGTTTTCTTTTAAATAAATAAATGTGAGTACAAATGCAAGCTGATTTCTTTTTAACCCTACACCTGTAAACTTCAGCTTTGTACGGGAGGCGGGCAATTGGATGCAAATTAATGGTGGTGTTAGGAGAAAGACAGGAACTGGGAATTGGTAATACATTCTGAAAGGGAAATGGGTCTGACGTTTTCCTGGAGATTACCAGCTACAACAGAGCTCCCTGGCAGACTAGCTCTAGTCAATAGTGTTTAAAAGCCTCTAGCTAGGCCAGAGGCAGCGGCTCATGCCTGTAAGCCCTGCACTTTGGGAGGACAAGGCAGGAGGATAACTTGAGGCCATAAGTTCGAGACCAGCCTGGGCAACATAGCAAGACCCCCATTGCTATGAAAAATTTTTTTAAAAAATTGCCCAGGCATAGTGGCCCACACTTGCAGTCCCAGCTACTCAGAAGACTGAGGCAGGAGGATCACTTGAGGCCAGGAGTTGGAGGCTACCGTGAGCTGTGATCGCACCGCTGCACTCCAGCTTGGGCAACGGAGCAAGACCCTGTCTCAGAAAAAAAAAGACTCCAGATAGAGAGGCCTTCTCCTTCCTTCAGCAAGCTGGCGGGGGCCTCCCACTTTCCTCCCTCCCAGCGGTTCTGGTGGAGGAACAGGACTGGCCCTGGGGACCTTGCGGGGGACGTCACCCACCCTGAGCCTCAATGGCTGTTGGCCTGAGTGGCACCCTCTTCGGTATGTCCCCGAAGTCCAAGTCCCTCCCTGATGCCAGGGCTCCCCTCTCTCTGCCACAGGTCTGCCATCACCATATTTCCCCAGCGGACGGACGGCAAGCACGACTTCCGAGTATGGAACTCCCAGCTCATCCGCTACGCCGGCTACAAACAGCCCGACGGCTCCACCCTGGGGGACCCCGCCAACGTGGAGTTCACGCAGGTACGAGCGCCTGCGACACCCACCCCTGCCCCCACCCGGGCTGCCACGCCCCCACACTGTCTCTGTCCACGGGCTTGTCTCCCTTTAATGTTGTCATCACAGAGAGAGCCGCCAGTGGGGTGCAGCGTGCTCCCCTCTTGGCAGACCACCCCCACGGGGCTGCTCCCCGTCCTCTGGTTCTTTCTCAGCTGATCATTTGGTCAATTTCATGCCATTACCTCGCCCAACCCTCCTGCGGGCACTGTTGTCCCATGTCACAGATGGGTAGACTGAGTCTCACCCAGGCCAAGCGAGTTACCCAAGGCTACTAAACAAGTAGACAAGGAGGCCTAGGGCCACACTCCGGGTCTCCTGCCTCTCAACAGGAGAGCGGCCGAGGGCTAGTAGCCATGCCTGGCACCTGCCTTTTCTGCGCTGGGTAGTGTGTCAGATTCCCGTCACCCGTTCATCCATTGGTGGAGACAACAATTCTCCCCGCCCAACCCTCTGAGAGGGCGTGGCTGTCCGTGGCATCAGCACCCACGTAATTGCCGGTAGCCCAGGTCGATTCGTAAAAGCCACCAGGAAAGCAAACGCCGCCATCTCCCCACCCGGTGTCCCTTCCAGGTGGTCGCGTGGACAGGTAGGGACAGTCCCTATCTTCTAGGGACTGTGCCCACGGGAGACACCACGGGCAGACCCCGTGTCTGGAATGATCTCAGCCACACAGGCCTGGATCACCTTCTATCTGTCACCATTGTCTGCTGCCCAAATGCCCCTCGAACACCCGCTCCCAGAACCTGCCCCAAGACAGAGCTGGCCATTGCCAAGGATCCCCCTGCCCCCTCCTGCAGTGCCCAGGACTGCCGGCTTCATTTGCATGTGGCTTTTCTTATGAAAAAAAACATCATTGTCAGAGGGGGAGGGAGCTGTCACCAGGGCGACCAGGAGTCGCACCTGTGCCGGCAGCCGCAGCCAGACTCGCTGCTCCACTTGGCTGAGCACTAACTGTGTACTTGGCTGACCTTGTACTCGTGGTCACCGGAACACAAATGCCCCAGCCTCTTCCTCTCGCTCTGTCCTCCAGAAACTCGCTGACCGGGACGTGTTCTGTTAAGTCCGCGATTTCCCGCCTCCCCTAACGCAGCACAAAGAATCAGCCCAGACTGCAGCACTCACATCTTCCCCAACCCTCCAGCCCTGCCCCGCCCCACAAGGACACAGGCCACGTGTGGCTGGTAGCACTTGAGGTGCAGCTAGTTCCCAGTGGGGACGTGCCATAGTAAAAACACACACCAGATCTCGAAGCCCGAGCACAAAAGGGAGTCGGAAAGAGCTCACTGATAATTTTTCATGTTGACATGATAATAATGTGCATATAGTAGGAGGCTAACATATTAATAAATTAATAGGTTTACTGGATTAATTGCTATATTACATATTTAACTTTAATATTAAATATATTTCAGTACATTCATATTAATATTTTATCATTAATAAGTTACTGTTGATATATAATGCATTGATTATGTTATGTATTTTTTATATACATTTGATATATCTATTGGACTAGGAAATATTAGGAAATAATTTTAATGCCAAGTATATAATTAGGAGATATTGATACATTGTTAATAAATTAATATTAAGGATATTGTTGAATTTAAGCTATATCATTTGAGATGAGCATATTAATAAGATTATTTTCAGCTGTGGTTTTGTTAATGTGGCTACTAGAAACTTTTAATTACCTCTGTGGCTCAGATTATATGTGCATTGGACAGCTGCTGTAACAAATGCAGGCTATGCAGTAATTCTGCATACGTCTGCCTTCATCAATTTCAGTAGATTTTCTTCGTATCTTATGGCGACTAATGCGAGCACTTGTGGGGCGAGCACAGGGCAGGTGCGACAGTTAGTCAAAACCACAGAGCTTAGAGCTGGAGGACAGGTTTGCCCTGTGCCCGGTGGGACCACGAGAAGGCGTGCTAGTTCCGTGGCGATGTCAGGGAGACCTTCATAAAGGAGGTGACGTGGTCCAAGAGCCTCCTCTGAGGGACTGGCTGCTGCTGGGGCTTGCGTCTGGGTCTCCGCTCCTGCAGGGTCGGGGGCACGGGGGCATCACCTGGCCGGGTCTGGTTGCAGATCTGCGTGCAGCAGGGCTGGAAGCCCCCGAGAGGCCGCTTCGACGTCCTGCCGCTCCTGCTGCAGGCCAACGGCAATGACCCCGAGCTCTTCCAGATCCCTCCCGAGCTGGTGTTGGAAGTTCCCATCAGGCACCCCAAGTAAGAGGGACCCCCATGGATCGGGGGTGGTGGTGGGGTTCCCAGTGCCCCTCTCTGCCCATCGCCGTCCCCCGAGCTGGAAAGAGAGGGGGCGTGGCGGCTTGGTTCCTGTCCTCACTGCAGGTCTTGGGCAGAGCGGGTTCCCGCAAAGACCAGTAAGTCCTCCCTGACCAGCCTTGGGGACCGCTGTCCCTTCTGAATCACATGTACCCTTCCCCCCTCAGCTCATTCCTGCGTGATTGACAAGCACCTGCCCTATTTCTAGCCCTAAGGGTTGGAAGAGCGCAGGTACCTACTGTCTTGTGGTGGGCACAAGGTTTTTATTTAAAACCCTGTGGGACCTGCTGTGGGTCATGTTCAAAAGGAATTTGCAGAAGTTGCTGCCAGAGCTGAGGCCGGCAATGCAGGCAGCATTTGCCCTTTGAGAGTGAAGGCGCTAGACCCAGGGAGGCGCTAGACTCAAAACTAGTATTGGACAAAACCCAGGGGCAGCTGCTAAAACACTCAGTAATGCTTGAGATAAATAATATGTGAATGCAATATATATATTTTTTGAGACAGAGTCTCACTTTGTTGCCCAGAGTGAGTGCTGTGGCATCAGCCTAGCTCACCGCAACCTCAAACTCCTGGGATCAAGCAATCCTCCTGCCTCAGCCTCCCAAGTAGCTGGGACTACAGGCATGCGCCACCATGCCTGGCTAATTTTTTCTATATATTTTTAGTTGGCCAGTTAATTTCTTTCTATTTATAGTAGAGATAGGGTCTCGCTCTTGCTCAGGCTGGTTTCGAACTCCTGACTTCATGCAATCCTCCTGCCTCGGCCTCCCAGAGTGCTAGGATGACAGGCGTGAGCCACCGCGCCCGGCCTTGAATGCAGTATTTTTAAAAATCAAAGTTAATGCATTTTGTTTTCGGTTTTTATTTGACACATAATTGCACATATTCATGAGGTACCTAGTGATGGTTCAGGACATATAATATATAGAGTGATCAGATCTGGGTGATTAGTATATCATTTCAAATATTTATCCTTTCTTTGTACTGGGGAATATTCAGCATCCTCCTTCTAGATATTTGAAACCACTAAATGTATTATTGTTAAGTGTAGTCATTCTGCAGTGCTATAGAACACTAGAACTTATTCCTTTCTAGCTGTAATGTTGTATTCTTGAACAAATCTCTCCCCATCCCTCTCTTCCCCCTACCATTCCCAGCCTCTAGTATCCTCTCTTCTACTTTTTACTTCTTTTTATATATTTTTTTCTCTTTTTACTAGCCCTGCAAACGCAAGGCCTCAAAAAAATTGGGTTAAGACTCAGAATTGTTTATATCCTTGGAAATATTTAGTAAAAGCCAAAAGAGTCATACGATCTGAAGAGAAACCAGAGTATTGTTCTACTTTTCACTTCCATGAGATCAACTTTTTTTAGCTTCCACATATGAGTGAGAACAGGCGGTATTTAATTTTCCATTCGTGGCTTAGTTCACTTAACATAATGTCCTCCCGTTCCAGCCACGTTGCCACAAATGACAGGCTGTGATTCTTTTTTGTGGCTGAATAGTATTCCATTGTGTGTTCTTTATTCATTCATCTGCTGTTGGACACTTAGGTTAATTCCACATCTTGGCTATTGTGAATAGTGCTACAATAAACATGGGGGTGCAGATGTCTCTTCCATATACTGGTTTCCTTTCCTTTGGAGAAATGCCCCATAGCGGGACTACTGGATCATTTAAAAATCAAAGTTAATGCATTTTGTTTTCGGTTTTTATTTGACACATAATTGCACATATTCACAAGGTACCTAGTGATGGTTCAGGACATATATAGAGTGATCAGATCGGGGTAATTAGTATATCATTTCAAATATTCTTTTTTTCAGTTCTTTTTTTTTTTTTTTGAGACAGAGTCTCACTTTGTTGCCCAGGCTAGAGTGAGTGCCGTGGCATCAGCCTAGCACACAGGAACCTCAAACTCCAGGGCTCAAACGATCCTCCTGCCTCAGCCTCCCGAGTAGCTGAGACTACAGGCATGCGCCACCATGCCCGGCTAATTTTTTATATATATATTTTTTAGTTGGTCAATTAATTTCTTTCTATTTTTAGTAGAGACGGGGTCTTGCTCAGGCTGGTTTCGAACTCTTGACCTTGAGCAATCCACCCGCCTCGGCCTCCCAGAGTGCTAGGATTTACAGGCGTGAGCCACCACGCCCGGCCCATGTGGCAGTTCTATTTGTAGCTTTTTGAGCAACCCCTTTGCTGGCTGTACTAGTTCACATTCCTACCAACAGTGTGTAAGAGTTCCCTTATCTCAGTATCCTGCCAGAAGTCGTCACTTTTTGTCTCTTTGATAATTGCCATCCTAATTAAGGTGAGATTTTGCAAAAGTAAGATTTTTGATTTGCAGTTCCCTGATGATTAGTGATGTTGAGCATTTTTTTCATGTATTTATTAGCCGTTTGTATGACTTCTTTTAAGAAATGTGTGTTCAAATCGTTTACCCATTTTTTAATCAGATTTTTTTTTTTTTTTTTTTTTTTTTTTGCTGTCAAGATGTTCAAGTTTCTTTTATATTTTAGATATTAATCCCGGGTCAGATGAATAGATTGCAGATATTTGCTCCATTCTGTTGGTTGTCTTTCCACTCTGTTGATTGTTTCCTTGTTGTGCAGAAGCTTTTTAGTTTGATAGAATCCCATTTGTTTATTTTTGCTTTTGTTGCCCATGCTTTTGAGATCTTATTCATAAAATCTCTTCCTAAACCAATGTCCTGAAGCACTTCACCTATATTTTCTTCTAGTAGTTTTATAAGTTTGGGTCTCAAAGTTAATATTTCTTAAAAAGAATAAAAACCCGTGATGAACAATATATCAACACTTTCATTAAAGGCAGGATCCAGCTCAGGACTGAGATTAGGGTGAGACAAAGGAAGTGAGTCATGCAGCTCAGGGTGGGTCCTGTCTTTATTAAAATTGTTAATATTTTTTTCATCATATATATGTGTACATACATATATAGCACTAAGTTTGATTTTTTTTAAATGTTGCATTAATTTAAAATACTGCATAGGCCGGGCACGGTGGCTCACGCCTATAATCCTAACACTCTGAAAGGCCAAGGCGGGTGGATTGCTCGAGGTCAGGAGTTCGAAACCAGCCTGAGTGAGACCCCGTCTCTACTAAAAATAGAAAAAGAAATGAATCGACCAACTAAAAACATTTATATACAAAAAATTAGCCAAGCATGGTGGCGCATGCCTGTAGTCCCAGCTACTCGGGAGGCTGAGGCAGGAGGATGGCTTGAGCCCAGGAGATTGAGGTTGCTGTGAGCTAGGCTGACCCCACGGCACTCACTCTAGCCTGGGCAACAAAGTGAGACTCTGTCTCAAAAAATAATAACAATAAATTAAAATAAATAAATAAAATATTGCATAAATAGATACCAGCGTTGATCACGATTACTGAGTCTTGGGTGCACCCCTCCCCTTAAATTTTTCCACCCAGGGCTGGCCTCACATGCCTCAACCCCAGTGTCAGCCCGGGAGAGGGAGCCAGTGTCCCGAGGCTCTGACACTGTGATGTCTGGGAAGTCACCCAGTCTCTTCAGTAAAACTTAACCTACATTCCTTCCTTCCTGCATTGTCTTGTTCAGCATAGTTTATCATTCCCAGGCCGGGCGTCGTGCTAGCTTCAGGGCCTGACTTGGCCACTGCCTCCAAAGTGCTTATGATCTAAGGAGGAAAAGATCTCACACACACAATTGCTCACATAACTACTTGATTCCACTGAAATGCTGCAAGTAGAATTTATGGTACCCAGAAGCATGAAATCATCTGAGCCAACTGGGCGCCAGGAAAGGCTTCTCAGAGTAAGCATCATTTTAGCTGAGAATCGAAGGATGGGTTGGAGCTGGAAGCACAGCAGGGAGGGAAAAGCTCCGCAGAGGCAGGAACTGCCTGTGCAAAGGCCCTGAGGTAGGAAGGAGCTCAGCAGGTTGGGGGAGGGCGAGGTTAACACACTTTCTCCTGGAATCACTTTTCAGGGTGGATTTGGGAGAGAAACAGAAGCCCAAGGTAGTGGTTTTCAGGCCCGGACGTCCATCCGAAACATCTGGGGAACATGATTAAAATGCACGTTCTCAGGCCCCCCGGCTGTGGAGCCCGTGATTCCACAGCCCTGAAAGGGCTCCAGGGATCAGATTCCGACGCAGGCCGCCCTTGGCGTTTCCGCGTCCCCGGAGGAAGGTTCTCCGGCTCACGAGTCTGCCCGTGGTGAGCTGGGCTGCGGTCTCTCCGCAGGTTCGAGTGGTTCAAGGCCCTGGGGCTGAAGTGGTACGGGCTGCCCGCCGTGTCCAACATGCTCCTGGAGATCGGCGGCCTGGAATTCAGCGCCTGTCCCTTCAGCGGCTGGTACATGGGCACGGAGATCGGCGTGCGCGATTACTGTGACAACTCCCGCTACAACATCCTGGAGGTGAGGGCCCAGCCTGGTCCCGCCAGGAGGAAAGCGCAAGGCGGGGGGCTTGCTGGCTCGGCAGTCTTTCCCCGCAGCTGAGCTCCGGAGCTCAGAGACTCGAAGGCGTCAGAACGGAATTTCAATCCTGGCGAACCCCTAGAAATTCCAGAGGCATCTGTGTCTGTCTTTAACAGTGGCTGAAATAACAGCAAGGACACACGTAGCCCGTACTATGTGCTAACACTGGTTAAAGCAGTTTGCATATATTACGTGCTCATTTAATGCCTACATAACCTGGAGTTATGATAATCCCCTTTCACAGATGCAGAAACTGAGGCCTTTTCCAGGGATGAAGTGACAAGTGCAAGGTCAGGGCAGGCAGCGGGGCTGGGATGTGAGCCCAGTCTGGCTTTAGGGCCCAAGTTCATAGCCACCCCGCGACACTGCCTCTCAGCGCTAAACCCCGTTAGAAGAGTTGGAGGATGACCCACAAACTCGGGACATAGTGAGTCTCTTTTCTGAAAAGCAGAGGAGGAGGGCTGGCCGTGGTCCCCACTCTAAGCATTTCTCCGCGGAGGGTCCGACTCCCTCCCGGGCTGAGTCATCCTGTTCTACTCGAAAGTGCTGGAGTGGAGCTTCCTGAAGCTCAGCTCCGGTGAAAGCACCATGATTGCTGCGTTTTTGTCAGCAAATGTCTTCTGACAACAGTCTGCCGCTGTTGGCTTTGTTTCAGGAGAGGGTGCCAAGAAACAGAGACGTTAAGCGCTGGGCCTGCGTCACACAGTAAATAGGCCCGGAGACAAGATTAGAACTCAGAACCAAGCGTTAGGTTTATATTGTTAAAATCCACTCGTGTCACCCTGGAAAAATAGACGCAAGGGACCCTCTCAGCCTTGCTGTACATGGGTGGCCAGGCGGGGGCGGGGCGTGTTTATGACGCCCAAGTCACACTCCCTGGGGTTCTCACTTCATCGCTCTCGCGTACGGCCTGGGCATCAGCATTTTGCAAAGCTCCCCGGGAGATTCTACTGGGTAGCCACCGATCCGTACAAACTTCTGGAAAAGGAAAAGACATTTCAGGAAATTTCCATGAGCATGGCTCAAGTCGCATTTGGGGATATTTTTCTTTAAAGTCATAGAGGGTTTTTTTTTTTCCCCCTGCAATTAATTTCTATTCTTTTAACCAAAATAGAATAACAGTAACAGCATGACTGGCTGTACACACTTTGCTCTATCATCAGCTAACTCGAGTTTTGTATGTATTTATGTAAAGCGGCATCGAATTTCTGACTTCCTGCACACGTGTCACTCACAAAGACCCCAAACAGATCCTAACGCCTCAGCCCCAAAGAGTGAATTAATAAGTGTGTTTTCTGATCTCTGCTTACATTTCCGTCGCAAAGAGTAGTTACCGGGTAACCTAAGTGAGACTCCCTCCCACCCCAGCCCTCCCATTCCGACTGCCAGTATGTACAAATGTTGACAGCGGGGCCGGGAAGAAATTTGCTCAAACCTAAGACATGGCTGCATTCGGGCTCCGTAATGAGACCTAGCTCCCCGCTGGTGACTAGCACTGACAGAGGAAGTGAAAAGCGGGGCTTTAATTAATGCACTTGCGACTGGGTCTTCCCGGCTCCTGCCTGAGCTGTAACGTACATGCCGTGAGTTGTTTCCTGCAAGTAATTCTGCCAGAGGCATCGGCTGGTTTGGGAGTCGCTCCCGGGTCTTAGACGCTAGCCATCCCCCTGGGCTCCAAATGCAAGGCCAACTGGCTCTGTGGACCTTGGACAAGTCCGGGCACCTCTGCATGACTCAGTTTCCCCATCTGTCAGAAGGGGTCCCACAGGTGTCCCCATGAGCTCAAAGCACCCGTGATGATCAGTAATAACCCCCCCCCCGGGGGGGTGAAGTAGAATGCATGGGGAGATTTTCATACTAGGAAGTAGATGATGTCACACGCAGACTACGTCGCTTCTTAAAACGCTCCAAAGACCCCATCCCATCGCATCTGGAATAAAATCCTGACTCCTTGGCACACCCTTCAAGGCCTTACATCATCCAAGGCCTGCCTCATCACCTCCCCCCCACACACACACTGGCCTTTCTGTGTCTCACACCGCCCAAGCCTGACCGCACCCCAGGGCCTTTGCACTTGCTGTTTTTCCTGCCTAGAACATTCCCTCCCCCCACCCGCAAGTATCTTCTCATCACTTAGGCCCCACCTTGAATGCAGTGGCCTTCCCTGCCCTCCCTGCCTGCAGGAACCCAGCCCCCACATTCCTCTCCGTCCCATGTCCTTGTCTTAGTTCCTTCCCAGGAATCAGCACGTATCATTAGCAATACGAACTGTCTCTCTCCTCCGTCAGCTCATAAGCTCAATAATTAAAGGACCGGCCAAGTCTGCAGTTTCCTGCTGCCGGTCGGTTCTCCATGAAAACAGCTTTGAAGTGAGTGAGTGAGTGAGTCAGTTGTCTGCGGAACGAGCTGATTAACTAATTAAGGAATTAATTGATGACACTTAGTCCTGCCCCTCCCCCCCCAGCCTGTGAGCGTGTGTTTCCTTCCGCTTTCAGGAAGTGGCCAAGAAGATGGAGCTGGACACGAGGAAGACGTCTTCCCTGTGGAAGGACCAGGCGTTGGTGGAGATCAACATCGCAGTCCTATACAGCTTCCAGGTAGCGCCGGGGCCCTCGCCACCCGGCCGCGCCCCGACCGGGAGCTGAGACCTGTCCGGGCCTCGGCGCAGAGGGGCGACACGCCTCGCCGCGTCCAGAAACCGCCTCTGGGGAGACTCTGTCCCCAGCAGGGTCTCGGGGTGGGGACGATTGGGTGAGGAGATGACTAGATGAGGCTGGGGTGCTGTCACTTGTCGCCCAGGGTTCCAAGAATGGAGACGACGGGCCTCCTGTGTGTCTCGCCATCTCTTAGGGACTCGGGCGATCACGTACCGGAGACAAATACTCGCCGTCACTGTCAGGGACATGCGGGCCCCTAAATGCACGTGGGTCTGGGGTAAACAGCGGTACAGTCGGGTGGCTGTGACGTTGATCGGTTTCCCCGTGGCACTTTAGAAGCACAAGGAGGACACCAGTAATAATTACAATAATTATGCCAGGACGGTGGGTATAAACCGAGGATTCCCCTGGGCAAACCAGGCAGCCCAGAGAGTAGAGGTCGCTGTCGTAGAGACCCTCTTTGTCATCTGGGGGCTTCCAGTCTAGGCAGCTGGACCCCCACAGTCGCGTGGGAAACGCACACACGGTCAGCAGAACGGGCGTGTTAAATCGAGCCGAGACTAGATACGATTAGGAGCCACAGGTCCCCGTGTCAGGTGCGGGGAGAATGCAGGCAGGCAGGTGACAAGTTCAGACGGGACAAGAGGAGAGGAGGCCACCTCCCTTCTGCCTTAACCGTGGAGGAAGAGAGGTTTCGGGAGCGTGGCTTGGGGCCTGGCAGGCTGGCACTTCTCTCTTCTTAAAAAAAAAAAAAAAAAGGTGGGGGGCGGGGAGGGAGGAAGATTAGTGACATTGACAAGAGACTGTCTCCCAGGCCTCACGAGAAGGGCTGGCAGAGAATCTCTGTTTCATCAAAATCGTCTCTGGGACCACCACCCTCTGGGAAACGCCGCTTTATGGGCAAGGGGGTCCCCCCAAAAAAACCTCCTCGTCTCTTACCTGCTGACGCCTCGTCCCCTCCCCTCCCGCAGAGCGACAAAGTGACGATCGTCGACCACCACTCTGCCACCGAGTCCTTCATCAAGCACATGGAGAACGAGTACCGCTGCCGGGGCGGCTGCCCGGCTGACTGGGTGTGGATCGTGCCCCCCATGTCCGGCAGCGTCACCCCCGTGTTCCACCAGGAGATGCTCAACTACCGGCTCACCCCGTCCTTCGAGTACCAGGTCCCGCCCCTGCCCGCCGCCCCCGTCGCTAAGTCTCCCGCGTCCGGCGTGGGCGTCCCGCTTAGTTCGACCCAGGGTAGCAGCACTTGGGACGCTCGGTGGCCGCGCGCGGCTGGTGGCCGCCGTAGCGGACGGCACAGGTCTGGCCGAAAGATGGGTAGAGACGCAAGGGGTCGTCAGGGGTCCCCGGAAGAGAGTGTCGGGGCCGAGTGGGAAGGGCTGGCGGGGCAGGGCAGGGAAGGGCAGGGCAGGGCCGAGGGTGGCGCAGCCCCGAGCCCCAGGCAGCCCCGAGCATCCCCGGGAGGTGGCAGACGCCCTCCCCACAGTGACCAGTGTCCTCTCCTCCCTGCGCAGCCTGACCCTTGGAACACCCACGTCTGGAAAGGCACCAACGGGACCCCCACAAAGCGGAGAGCCATTGGCTTCAAGAAGCTGGCGGAGTGAGTCCCCTGCAGGGGGGGTTGGGGGGAGGGGGGGACGTGCCCACAAACTCAGAGAGGCCCAGAAAGGAAGCTGGGCAGGTGCTTGCACCTGCGACCTCTCCTAGGATGTGGCTGCTCCGTTTTCTGCGGCCACCACGTGCCCCCTCTGCCTCTGAGTCTGAGGTTCGAACGTTGCCCTCAACTCCTCATCTTCCCAGCCTCACCTTCCTTGGCCCCGTGTCCTAGATTCTTGTCCCAGAGGCAGCGACGTGTTGGTGGAACCAGCTCTCCTAACAACAGGAACGGGAGCGCCTCGATTTGCGGCGTTTGCCCATTTCCATGGTGTAAATATTCCCCCACCGCGGCCAATTGCCAGTTACCCGCGGAAGTCATTGCGCGCAGAGTAGGGAAGAGCTGGGCCGTCATGTCGGCTCCAGGACACCACTGCCTAGGCAGCACCCTGGGCCGGGGCTGGGCCCTGTCTTCACTCACCCGTTTACACAGCCATTCACGCATTTAGCCGACAAGTGAGCGCCAAGTGCCTCTCCGTGCCAGGCGCCGTGCAGGCCCCAGGGATGTCACGGCAAGCTAGACAAATGTGGTCCCTGCTGTCGTGACGCGCACAGCCATTCATTTGTCAGAGAGTCTCACAAATGCAGCACACGTGGAAGCTGTGGCAGCAGGTGCCACCGAGGAAGGGTTCACGGACGTCATAATGGTTCACAGAGTTTGGGAGGTCAGGGAGGGCTTCCTGGAGGAGGTGACCATGGAGCTGAAGAATGAGATGAAGAAGGTTTAACTGAGCAGAGACGGGGAGGGCAGGGGATTACGGCCCAAGACGACTGAGGAGCGATTTTCCTGAACACTACTTAGCCAGCCAGGGAACCAACTGGCAAGAAGGACGGGACTACCTGAGACGATTTCATGGGGATGCCAGCCTTGTGCCCAAAGAAAGAGAGCCCCACTGACCCACTCAGCAGACACTGCTGTTTGTAGCTAACTTTGGGGCAAGAGATGTGGGTGTGAGCTAAGCTACTTACTCTCTTTCCTCAGCCCCCTTGAGTCCAGAACTCTCTGTGTTTCATATCTAGCAGGTGCCACCTGAGTTGGGCGCCCCAGAGCGCGACACGGGTGGGCCTTGCAGGGAGGCCAGCCTGGCTCCGTTAACATGGCCCGCGGGGTCTCTGTCCCTCTCTCTCTCTCTCTGCTTCCACCCCCAACCTGCCCTCCCGCCCAGCTAGAACACTCCAGCAGGAATCTTCCCCCTCCCTACCGTACCGCGCATGCTCTCTGGGAGGACAGCCCTTGGCTTCGCTTCAGTTCCATCTCTGGAGGGAGAAATCTAAAACGTTAATTGCACTATTAAGTTTTGGGTAGTAACAATGGGGATTAATTATAGATGCGTTTTTATGCTCAACTCATTCAGAGGGAACCCTCCAGGTACCTTTTATTCTGTCTGCTTCTCCCCCTTAGCTTGGAGGCTTCCTTGCAGCGTATGTAGGTGGCTGCCCTATTTCTAAAAAAATAATGAATTTACCGCCAGTAAGCACCAGGTGGGGGAGTAATTAGCGATTTGTCTACACCGAGACTCCTCCTTGTTGGAACAGGGAGGCTCTCTCAAAAGCCCAGGGTATCCTGAGCCTCTCACCTGTCTGCCCCCCGCCCCCCAGCCCTGCCCAGTAGCAGGGAAGGAAAGAGTAACGGTTTGGGCTTCTCTGTTTAGCTAGAAAGAGCATGGGCTTGACATTTAAACTCCTCCGGGCTTCAGTGTAGCATCTTTTACAATTCATAATTTCTTTAGATAGATATTTATTGAGTGCCTATTAGGTACCAGGCTCTGGGCAAGATCCTGGATGTGCAATGATGAAGAAATCAGACCTGGCCCTCCCCCTGTGAATCTATAAACCTCTAAAATCCCTTTGAACTCAAAGGGATGCCTGGTGACATATTAGTGGTTCATTTCTCTCTGTGTGTGTCTCTCGATCACACACACATGTGAATACGAGCCCCAGGACCCCCCTGCGTGTTCACAGCTATGTTCTCTCAGTCCTTCAGCCCCTGTAACGTTTGCCCGACACGCAGGCACTCAGCAAACATTTGGCCGACTAAGGACTGAGTGAATCTTCCGGGGCAATGCTTGGCAGCCCAAGGTTCTTTTTTTTTTTTTTTTTTTTTAATGAAAGAAAAGTTGTCAGCATGATTTTATCGAAACGTTTTAGTACCATGTTGAAGGATCTTAAAGTCCTATACCCAAATCAATACAAGCACTTCAAATGATATATCCCTAGCTGACATTGTATTTAAGAAAGAAAAGTTATCATCTACAAGTTGACTAATTTAAGTTGCAGGCTAAACAACTTTGGTGTCTTCATATTTCTATGGCTTCCCTTTTTAGCTAGACATATGCCAAGCCCACCCCCATGCGGTAGAGTTGGGCAGGATCGATATGTTTGGTGGTCTCAGGTTTCCGCGCTAGGAGCAGCAAAGATCTAGAAAGTTCCGGGACTCTACTGCTTACCGGGCAGTCTTGAATTGGCTTTGCTGAACTGGAAACATCAAATAGTTAAGGCCTGAATTTCCACTTTGTATGGATAAGTCCAGTCTAATTAGTTCATAAATGTATTCAGAAGTACTTTGAAATACAAAAGTGGAGCTAGAGTGTGATAGAAACCGTCAGTGCTTAATCGAGAGAATACCAATGCAGATTTCCTTAATCTCGGTTTTTATCTGAAGATCATTATTTTAAAACTAGCTCTGTACATTCCTAGACTTTAAATATCTTAGATAAAATGATTACCTTTTACTAAATCAACTGGCTTAAGTCCCGTCCACATGTTTAAACTGGCACACTTGCAAAAACTAACATTTTGCTGTACCTTAAAGTGGCTTGGTAAAATTAGCTGTGGAGTACAGATTGACTATAACTAGCAAGAGTTGGCTTGAGATGTGTAAAGAGTCTATTTTGATGCTATGTAATTTTTATTTTCGATAAGTGTGTGACATCTGTATTTCTTGGAGTTTGTATGCTTGTATGACATCAAGGTGTGGTTGTAAAGACACATACGTACACAGACCAAGGTTCTTAAGAGTAGGATCCATCAGTCAGATTACACACTGGCAAAACTAACCATCTGTTTTAACTCATAACTGATTGCTCCGGTGGGATTTAATGAAGGCGCCAATAGGGTGCCTAAATTCAGGGGCTGCAAGGATGTCTTGAAGGGACCCCCCCCCAAAGTCATCAAAGATGAAGAAAGTATGTTCTTGCCTGTTAAATGTCATGGATCTCGGTTCTTGCCCCAAAGGACCGATCAGTCCGACGTCTTCTCTCCCTTTCTCCGTTTCCCATTTCCCCTCTCCACCCTCGTGTCCCCTCAGAGCCGTCAAGTTCTCAGCCAAGCTGATGGGGCAGGCCATGGCCAAGAGGGTCAAAGCCACCATCCTCTATGCCACAGAGACGGGCAAGTCGCAAGCCTACGCCAAGACCCTGTGCGAGATCTTCAAACACGCCTTTGATGCCAAGGTGGGTAGGGGGCCTGCTCCCCGGTCTCTCGTGCGTGGCACAGAAGGACAGGAAGGGGGAGACGGGGAAGCCAACAGAGAAGAACCCTTTGACAGTGGATGAAGCCATGCGCAAAGATGCCCGTGAGCTCCCATACACACATTTGCATAAATCTCAGGGGACAGTGATGTCCCTGTCCCCATGACCCCTGCAGGAGTCCAGGAGTCCCACAGTGAAATCCCCATCTCTAGAGCAGAATGTTAAAGGGTTAATCAGAAACCATTCTGAGGTCGGTTTGGGAAGCTCTGCATGAAATGCAGCTCAATGGATTTCCTTGCTACAGGACTTCTCAGTGCCTTTAAGCTACGACGGTGTACTATAATCTTCGAGCAGTTAGAACGTAAATGTTTCCCAAATATATTTGAGCCTGGACCACTTATTTTTGGACCACTTATATTTGAGCAGGGACCACTTCGCAGCAGGGTTGCAGGTAGCGTGGAGGTTGAATTTGAAAGATAAGAGAGTGCATAAGAGAAAAAATTTGAGAATGGACCACTTATTTTCCTGGAGCATCCCAGGAGACTGGGCTGCCCATTTTGAGGAGTATTGCTCAGATGAGACACAGGGCAACAATCTTTTTCCTAAGGCAGGTGTCTCAGGCTTGTTGGGCCCAAGTGCTCCACACAGCAGCATGGAGGATCAGAGAGGAAGCTGAGCAGAGTTGCCCAGATACAGCCAGGTCATTCCCAGCCCAAATGGGGTCAGGAAGAATCCAGAATGAACTGGCTATAAGAAGCCTCCATTGAAAGCTGTCTGTACTGGCAGCCAGTCTCTTGGACCATTGCCCCAGACTCCCCACGGTCCTTCAAGCCACAGTGACCATAGCAAGGTCCCCCGCCACCAATAAGCTTTTAGTTCTTCCCACTTGAGCCCATCGAAATACTGACACCCCTGAACTTTGGGTTCTCCTCCCAAAGGAGATAGATGGCTCAGAATGACTCACCTGTTTCCTTCCCCCCTTCTTCTGCTCCTCCATCGCTTCGTGTCTCTCCTCCTCCTCTCTCCTCGTCACCTTCTTCCTTGTTCTCCGCCACCCCGCGCCTTTGCCCCTGCCCGCCTAGGTGATGTCCATGGAAGAATATGACATCGTGCACCTGGAACACGAAACTCTGGTCCTGGTGGTCACCAGCACCTTTGGCAATGGAGACCCCCCTGAGAACGGGGAGGTGAGATGAGCACTCGCCTGTCCTAGCATTGTGGCTCCATCACCCAGGAGAAGGAAGGGGCACAGTGGGGACCCTTCCCTACACCCGATATTCAGTAGCAAACCCTTTTAGAGCCCCCAAGCCAGTGATTTCCACGTGGATCCAAGTCATGCAAAGACTGGACGATTCTAAGTTCTCAGCCTAGTGGTGTCCACTCGTTAGCTGGTCCCTAGTGAAAATTTTGTCACCTAAGCGAGCTCCTTGTTTGGAATGGACGCTCCAGTCATGAGCTTGGTGGCCCCTGGTTCAGATGAGGGACGTAGGGGCGATGCTTTTATAGAGAGAAGGCTACAAAGGGGAGTTGTGTGCTGGGGACGGGGGTCCACGCTTGCAGTCGCTTAAACAGTTGGCCCCTTGCAGTGCGTTTGCGGCCCGAGTCCCTGGCCACCCCTGCCCTCCTGGCTCCCGGGCACTGTCAGCCTTGGCCAGCCAGGACCCCAGCCTCTCAGTGCCCGACCCGATTCCAGATTTACTAACACACGTTTTTCACCTTTCACTCATCTGTTTCGGCCTCCAGAAATTCGGCTGTGCTTTGATGGAAATGAGGCACCCCAACTCCATACAGGAGGAACGGAAGTAAGTGAATGACACTTCCATGTCACCCGACACCACCTCCCAGCAACTGGAAAATGATTCTGGGTGCCTAGAGCTCCACATCTGAGTTCTGGATGGTGGTTGGGACCTAAAGTCCCTTTGTGACCGATTTTAGCTGGGGTTGGGGGAGGTCTGCGGTCCACTGGGGCTGATATTTGGTTTCTCAATAAGTCACTTCACAACCTTGTGCCTCAGTTCCTTTTTTTTAATCGGATAGAGATGATAACACCTGCTCTCACTTTCTCGCGGGTAAGAATCAAATCAGAAACTAGATGTGAGCGCGCTGAGCAAATATCGTTCTTGTAATTCTCCCCGTTTTGGAAACCTGCACCCAACATCAGCGAAAGGGGCTTCTTTCTTTCGAACATTCCCGTGTGGTGTTCGCAGCGGGGTTGCAGGTAGCGAGTGGAGGTTGAATTTGAAAGTTAAGAGAGCGCATAAGAGAAAAAATACCTGTAGTCAGGAGATACTCATGGTGGAACTGAATCGAAAGGTTGGGTTCCGAAGGTATTTGGTAAGGCGGAAAACATCTGCGGTCGAAATTACCCTGAATAGAGCTGCAGGTGCCCCGTACACCCGTAAGGTGTAGGACATATGTCGTGTGCACGCTGAGCTGCCTTTCATGAGGTCAGCTCTGTCCCCTCCAGCCTGGAGCGGGTCCCCGCGTCCTAAGGTGAGCATCAAATGCCGTAGCCGCTGGTGCTTCGAGTTCTGTGTCAGGCAGGAAGTCCCTGCTGGTTTTCTTTGTGTCCCCAACATGTTGCCAAACAACTCACATACGTTCAATACCCGGGGGAGGGACAATCCCTGAGTCCCCTGTGGTCGGCCCTCCTGCTGCACCCGGCTGCAGCATCTTAGTCCTCGCTCTCCCTGCCCCTCCCCCTCCCAGCCCGTCCTGGGTGGGCTCCCAGCAGGTCTCCCCTCACCCCTCCTTCAGGGAGAGATAGGGCGCCATCCATTCTCCCCTCTAGGTACCCGGAACGCTTGCGTTTCTTTCCCCGTAAAGGGCCTCCCCTCCCCCGTGGTGGCGCGGAAGTCCACGGTCTGGCTGCAGCCCGTGACAGCCAGCGCAGGTAGAGTGTGTGCACGCGTGTGTGTGCAAGCGCGTGCATGCCCGATGCCCGGGCCCCCAAGGCCACATCCGGGTCTCAGGGAGACCCGGGTCCTAACCCGAGCTGCGTCACTAACTCTCTAAACGACCTTGAGCAAGTCGCTTGACCTCTGTGGGCCTCAGTCTTTCTCATCTGCCAAATGGGGAGAAATCAGCCCCGCCCTGCCCACCTCTGGGGCCTGCAGTCTGGGGAAGGGTGATAGCAAAGAGGAAAGCTTTTGGAGGAACCTCCAACCTCATACAAATACACGTGCTGTTATTTTTACCCACGACCATCAACCGTTCCTCCCATATTAACAACACGGCCACCCCCTGATAGGCTGCATGGCTTATTTGGAGAAGTGACTCAATGTGAGACTATTTTAGGGCAGAAAATACACTTACGTATATTTAGAACTTTCCTGATGCCAGAGCAAAACCTTTGAAGAATATCCCGCTCAGAAACTCTGCTGCCAAAATGCACAATTTTTTTTCTTTCCTTCTTTCTTTCTTTCTTTCTTTCTTTCTTTCTTTCTTTCTTTCTTTCTTTCTTTCTTTCTTTCTTTCTTTCTTTCTTTCTTCTTTCTTTCTTTCTTTCTTTCTTTCTTTCTTTCTTTCTTTCTTTCTTTCTTTCTTTCTCTCTCTCTTTCTTTCTTTCTTTCTTTCTCTCTCTCTTTCTTTCTTTCTTCCCTCCCTCCCTCCCTCTCTCCCTCCCACCTCTCTCCTCCTCCTCCACCTCCTCCCTCTCTCTCTCTCTCTCTCTCTTTCTTTCTTTCTTTCTTTCTTTCTTTCTTTTTTTTTCTTTTTCTTTTTGTTTTTTGTACTCATATTTGTGTGTTGGTTTTTTGTCTTGAGTTTTGCGTTTGGGGTTTTGGTTGTTTGTTTGGTCTTGGGGATTTGGGGGGTTGTTTTTGCTTTGCTTTGTTTTGCTTTGTCTAAGAACAAAACTTACCAAGTTTAGAGGAAAACTGAGAAACTGGAATTTTTCTTTTTAAGTCTTAAGGCTCCTGAGCTGCTCATGCTGAGATTTGAGCCCAGTGACATTCTTCTTCATCTTCAAAGCAATTAATCAAAAAGTCCATCTCATTTCATGCCAGGCGTTAGTGCCGAACATTTTTCATGCTTACTTGAAATGTGAAATGGGACAGACCCCTGAAAAGTCCACTGTCCAGTGGAACCTTCTACAATCACCTAGACGTTCTATGTCTGTCCACGGCAGCAGCCAGTAGCCACACATGGCTATTGAGCACCTGAAACATGGATCGTGCAAGTGAGGAACAGAATTTTTCGTTGCATTTTAATTCGAGTTAATCAATTGATAATTAATTATTCAAACAGCCACACTTCGCCAATGGCTACCATAGTGAATAGCACGAGCCTCCTTCCTGGGAGCTTCCAGGCCCTGTCCCAGACCCACGGAATCAGAATCTGCATTTTAACGAGATCCCAGAATGACACTTGTGCCCATGAAAAATTGGGAAGCAAAGAAGCATGGTCTAATGGTTCAGAATGTAGTCAGTTCTATTCCCGGCTTCTTGCTGATTAAATCATTTTGACTCTGCAGGTCTCGAGGTTCTTGAGTTAGGCGTGGCCAGAAACCTTTTAAGTACAGACAGGGCCAAGTGCAGGTGGGCGGACATCCTTGTGGTGGGCGTGGGCGAGATCGAACATTAGACAAGGGGTCATAGCACAGGAGTGCTGTGGTTTGACTCTGCACAGGGGACAAGACTCTAGAACCAGGACTGGTGACTTGGGGATCCACCAGGGGTGCTGCCCTGGGGAGGGGACTCCCAGCCAGAGCTCTCACACTCTCTTGGGTTTTGGCAGGAGCTACAAGGTCCGATTCAACAGCGTCTCCTCCTATTCTGACTCCCGGAAATCATCAGGCGACGGGCCCGACCTCAGGGACAACTTTGAGAGTGCCGGGCCGCTGGCCAATGTGAGGTGAACAGGGGGTCAGGGGAGCGGGGGTCCCCGGGGGGCCGGACCTAGTTGCAAAGTGGGCTCTTGGTGGCGTGGAGGGGTCTCCAAGCCCACTCGTCCCTGCTCAAGCCAGCTGCACCCTGGTCGTCCGGGACCCCTCCCGCCCGTGAAAACACACGCCCCGGTTCCCATGTGCCATTTTGGGTCCTTTCTGTGACTTCTCTTCCCACACACATCATCACCCAAGACTCACCGCTTCCTTTGTGCTGAAGGATATTAATCTCTACATATTGCTCAACAAGCTGCCCTTCCCAGGGGATACATTGTGCACTGTGTAGAAGCTTCTAGAAAAGCTGTCATCGCAGTCCTGCTATGACTCAGTGGTTCTCAGCCCTGTATGCAGATCAAAATCCGGGGATGTTTGCAATATACCAGTGCAACCACCAAGCCCCACTTCCAGACATTAATTGGTCTAGAATTGGGCCCAAGCATGGCTTTTTTTTTTTCCTTTAACTCTCCCTAATTAACTCTAATGGGCAGTCAGATTTGAAAAATATTGGCCAATCCCTGTGTTTTCAAAAGCATAGTCACATACCATGAGATAATTTTAGAAGGCACGTGGGCAAACATTTTATATTTTAACAGTCATGTATTCAGTTTAGTGAGTATTTGCAAAGAAAGAAAACTGGGATGCCAAACCCTTGGCCTCGTGAATTTTGGTCGAGACAAGGCTGATGTGGGCAGCCCCGGAGGAAGAATGTTCAGACCTGGCCACGAATCTCTCAGTCCTTTGCTAATTGAACCTCTTCATCACTCCTCAGAGCAATGCTTAGTAGATGGTTCAGACCACTGGTTCCTACTACTGAAATAACCATCATGTCGACAAGTGCATTTTTTTAATAGACTTTATTTTTTTTTAAGCAATTTTAGGTTGATGGGAAAAGTGAGCAGAAAGTGCAAAGGGTTCCTGTCTCCCCTCCCATAGTCTCCCCAACTATAAGCATCCCGCACCAGAGCGGTACACTTATTAGAAGTGACGATCGTACATTGACCCATCATTATCGGCCAAAGCCCACAGTTTACACTGGGGTTCACTCTCGGCCCTGCACATCCTCTGTGGGTTTTGACATCAGTCCATGTTTGAGCTCAGCTTTGAGACATCAGTTCTGGAGTCTGACAAACCCATTTTTCCTTCATTAAATCTATCATCGCAGGGCTTGGCCAAATGCCTGCAGGCCAAATCCCAACCTGGTACTTTTATAACTCATGAGCGAAGAATGATTTTTTTCCCAGTGAACACTTGTAATTAATTCGATGATAGAAAACATTGCCTTTGAACCCAATTAAGCAAAATGTTATCCCCACCAAAAAAGAATTCCATTCTTCTCATGAGTAGACCTGTGTTATAAAAAAAAAAAAAAATTGCACCCAAGTATTATTATGGTGTTTTAAATTTTATCAATTAAAAAACTGTGCGAGAATTTTTCTTTCTTGTTATGTAGTACCTGCATAAGAGCTTCGATTTTGTTTCTTGGCCTGCAAGCATAAAATTCCTTGCCATCTGACCCCGCATATAAAAAGTTTGCCAACTCCCGATTTGGAGGCTTGAAATAGGAATTTTGAAATCACAAGGTGAAGATCGTGGTGGGAATGTGAGTGTAGCAGTAACTATGGTGTAGGTTTTCCGGTCCATCGAGAAAAGTGTTAATGAATCAGCCACCTGAACCGTCATCCATTGGTGAATGCAAGAGTTGGGAGTCTTAGTCCATTTGGGCTGCTATAACAAAATACCATACACTGGGCGGCTTGTAAACAACAGAAACTTCTAGAGGCTAGGAAGTCCAAGATCAAGGTGCCGGCAGATTTGGTGTCTGGTGACGGCCTGCTCTCTGCTTCATAGGTGGTGCCTTCTAGATGTGTCCTCACAGGGTGGCAGGGGCGAGCTAGGTCCCCTAGGCCTGGTTTACAAGGGCGCTAATCTCATCCTGGAGGGCCCCACCCCCATGACTGAATCACCTCCCACAGTCCCCACCTTACACGGTCCCCACCTTACCAACACCTGGGTGGTTAGGTTTCAATATGAGAATCTGGGCAGGGCGTGGATGGGGGCAAACATTCTGGCCATGGCATTGGGCTTGATGAGACAGAGGTTTGGGAAATGCCTTAACACAAAGTGTGACTGGTACTGGGAGGTCCCAGGTCTGCCTTGAGCCGAGGCTGAGGCAGGTGGCTTGGGGCAGGGGTGCCTTTTCCTGTCACTCCTCCAATCAGTTCATAGCTGGTTACGGTCTCTCTCCACCCGTCAGGCTGCCATCCTGAAAAAAAAAAAGGTAAAGTTTCCAGATCCAGGAAGATCATGGGTTAAGGAATGATGGGGAGATGCTGTCTAATGCCACACACTTTTTTTTTTTTTTTTTTTTTTTGAGACAGAGTCTCGCTTTGTTGCCCAGGCTAGAGTGAGTGCCGTGGCGTCAGCCTAGCTCACAGCAACCTCAAACTCCTGGTCTCAAGCGATCCTCCTGCCTCAGCCTCCCGAGTAGCTGGGACTACAGGCATGCGCTACCATGCCTGGCTAATTTTATATATATATGTATATATATTAGTTGGCCCATTAATTTCTTTCTATTTATAGTAGAGACGGGGTCTTGCTCTTGCTCAGGCTGGTTTCGAACTCCTGACCTTGAGCAATCCACTCACCTCGGCCTCCCAGAGTGCTAGGATTACAGGTGTGAGCCACCTCGCCCGGCCTAATCCCACACACTTTATTTGGAAGGCTCTGGGGCCCCCAGGGAAGGAGGGCAGGAAGGAGCGAGACAGTCAAATGTGCATGCCAGAGGAGTGGACGCTAAGCCGTCATGTGATCAGTGAGACACCTGACCCCCGCTGAGTTCACTCGCCAATGATAGACAGTCCCTTCCCAGCTTCCCTTCCTCCCCCCATCTCCATCTGCCACCATCTTGTCCCCATCATCCTAACAAAGAGCTTCGGGGACAGCTCCAGACCCTGGATGCAGTAGCTTACATAGCCCCACCCCTCGGCTGGTCTAAGGTGACAATCTACGGCAGGACACTCTGCCCTTGGAAAGAAGTGCCACGGTGGGGTGTTCTCGTCCTCCCTGTGGATCTGTTGCTCCTGCCCCTGAGACGTCCAGGGCCACAGCCAAGACCACGCCCTGGGAATGTGGCAGGAGGCGCCTGTCTCTAGGACGGTGACCTAGCAAGAAAGGGCCATGGAGGACACAGCCCTCCTCTCCCCGTCCCCCATTCAAAGTGTCCCCAGCTCCACAGAGAGAAAAATCTTCCGCTAGTTCGTACACTGACCCTTTTTTGGCGGTCTCTATGCCGAGAGGTGGGGAGCAGGTTAATTTCTCAGACATCACAAGGCGTGGAGCCAGGACATTTGTCACCCTTCCGTCCCCTTTCAGAAGAACCTGTTTACACTGCAGCAGTCGAGGTGTCAATGACAAGTTCTTCTGGTCTGTTTGTTTATACGGGTCCCTGAGGACCACTATGTTGTAGTTTCGTTACCTTTGTACTTAAAGCCAACCTCATATGTCACCCGCTGCTGACATAGACTAATTTCCCCAATCGGTCCAGCAGCCAGTGGTTCCAGGTCATTGCTATCTCCAACCTGTCCTCTTTAGAACCAGCTAGAATTTTCTCCTGACACCTGGAAGACACCAGAAGAAATGGAGAAGAGAGCTCTTTGGTTTAAATACAGCCTTCCACAGATGGGCTTGGGGTTGCCTGGCCACCAGCAGCTACGCACAGTCCTTCCCGAGACACCAGATACATTAGTTTCCTCCAGCTGCCGTGATGGAATACCACGTACCCAGCGAAGAACCAAAATTTATTTTCTCATAGTTCTGGAAGATAGAAGTCCAAGATCATGATGCTAGCAGGGTTGGTTTCTGGTGAGGCCTCTGCTCCAGGCCTGCAGACAGCCACCTCCCTGCTGGACGCTTGAGAGACAGGGAGAGAGCAAGCGCGTACACAGGAGTGAGCTCCTTTTCTTGAAAGGGCACTAATTCTATAAAATAGGGCCCCACCCGCATGACCTCATTTAACCTTAATTAGCGCCCTAAAGGCCCTGTCTCCAAATACAGTCACCCAGGAGGTTAGGGCTTCAGTATATGAATTTTCAGGGACGGAGTTCAGCCCATAACACCTGACACCCCGCGGCCCCCTCGCACAGACCTTCTCTCGTCCCCTCGGCAGGTTCTCCGTGTTCGGCCTTGGCTCACGCGCCTACCCTCACTTTTGCGCCTTTGGACATGCGGTGGACACCCTCCTGGAAGAGCTGGGAGGAGAGAGGATCCTGAAGATGCGAGAAGGGGACGAGCTCTGCGGGCAGGAAGAGGCGTTCAGGACCTGGGCCAAGAAGGTCTTCAAGGTAACCTGGGTCTCAGAGACGCCGGGGTGGAAGTCCTGCTCCCCGCGCCCACCAAAGACAGAACCTGAATCCTTGAGAAAGAGAAGGGGCCGGGCGCAGTGGCTCGCGCCTGTAATCCCAGCACTCTGGGAGGCCAAGGTGGGAGGATTGCTTGAGGCCAGGAGTTCCAGACCAGCCTAAGCAAGAGCGAGACCCCATCTCTACAAAAAAATAAAAAAATTAGCCGGGCGTGGTGGTGCATGCCTGTAGTCCCAGCTACTCGGGAGGCTGAGGCAAGAGGATCACTTAAGCCCAGGAGTTTGAGGTTGCAGTGAGCTATGATGATGCCACTGCACTCTACCTGGGCAACAGAACAAAACCCTTCTCAGTGAGAAAAAAGAAAAGAAAAGAAAAAAGAAATGAGAGAGAGAGAGAAAAGGAATGAGAAGAAAGTTGAAAGAAGTCCATGTATCCAGCTTCTTTTAACAGCTCATAGGGGTTTTGTGGCCTTAAGATATACATTTGCCACCCAAAATCCAATGCCCTGCATATGGGCAAAGAGTCTATCCACAAAAAGTATTATAGAGTCTTGGAATTTCAGGGCTGGGAGGAATCTATCCCTCACTCACATCTGGTAGACAAGTACACAGAAAACACAGAGCTGGCCAACCAAACCACTTGCCATGCCTCATGGAACTGCAAGTCAGGTCTCCCCAACCTGTCTACCTCGACAAGCGTAACCTTCTTGTGCCAGATCTTCACTGACCAATCTGGTGGCCACTGCCACACATGGCTATTTAATTTTAAATTTCCATTAATTAAAATTAAATATGATGAATGGAGAAATGAAATGTGGTATGTCCATACAGTGGCATATTATTCAGCCATAAAAAAGGAATGAAGCCACGACATGGAGGAATCTCAAAAACATTATGCTAAGTGGAAGAAGCCAGACACAAAAGACCACACATTGTTGGATTCTGTTTATATGAAATGTCCAGAATCAGACACTCCATAAAGATAGAAAGCAGATTAGTAATTGCCAAGGGCTGGGGGTGGGGAGTGAGGTAGGAAATGGAAGTGACTGCTAATGGATGCAGAGGTTTTTATGAGGATGCTGAGAATGTTCTAGAACTAGAGAGTGGTGGAACAACCTTGTTAATGTTCTGAATAGCAATTCTTAGGATCGTTGAAGTTGAAGAACTAATGAGCTTGACCAAAAAAGAAAGAAAGAAAGAAAATTGTACACACAGGCATCCAGACATTCAATGTATTCTGCCTTTATATAATTTTTAAAATCTTTAGAGAAAGATGGATAGGAAATTCTAAGGTGTTTACTTTCTTTTTAATGTTAAACCTCTACACGTGTAGATTTTAGAAATACATGACATTATAGAATAACATGTGAAGTAGAAGTTAGGTCCTAAAGGGTCAATAGAAAATAGGATCTGTCCAGCATACCAAAGGCACTCAAAAAATATATAGGATGGATAGATGCATGGAAGGGAGGGAGGGAGGACAGATGGAAGGGTAGATGTGTAGCTGACTGGGTGGCTGGACAGGTAAGTGTATAGATGGATGGGTGGGTGAATGGAAGGAAAGAAAAGAGGGAGGGAGGAAATAAAGGAGAGGAGGAGGAAGGAAAGAAGGAAGAATGAGTGGATGGAAGGATGGATGGGTGGAGGGATGGATGGGTGGATAGATGGATGGATGGCTGGATGGATGGGTGGGTGGATGGATGGATGGTGGATGGATGGGTGGGGATGCGATGGGTGGGTGGTGATTGATGGGTGGATGGGTGGTTGGTGGGATGGGTGTGTGGGATGGGTGTTGGATGGATGGATGGTGGTAGATGGGGATGGGATGGGGTGTGGATGAATGGCGTGGTGGATGGATGAGTAGATGGATGCATGGGTGGATGGGGCTGGTGGATGGATGGGTGGAACTGGGTGAGGTGATGACTGGATGGTGGGATGGAACTATAGATGAGTGGATGGCGGAATGGGGGTTGGTGAATAGGTAGATGGATGGATGGGTGGGGTGGGGTGGGTTGGAGATGGATGGATGGGATAGGTGGAATGCGGTAGGATGGATGGATGGATGGTGGGTGGGTGATAGATTGGATGATGGTATGGATGAAGGATGGGATGGGAGGTGGATTGGTAGTGTATAGGTGGATGGGTGGATGATGGCGATGGAGGATGGGATGGTGAATGGATGAGTGCAGGGTGAGCAGATGGTGGATGGTTGGAAGCGTGGATGGCATGGGTTGGATGATGGATGGCGTGGATGGTGATAGTGGGAATGGGATGGATGGAAGGATGATAAGATGGATGGGGTGATGGATGATGATGGATTGGATAGGTGGAATGGGATGAGGATTAAGATGATGGGTTGTGGGATGAAGTGGGTGGATGTATTGGGATATAGTGGATGGATGGGATGGGTGGGTGATGGATGGATAAGTGGATTAATGCATGGAATTGGGTGGATGGATGGATGGAGGTGGATGGATGGATTGGAGAGTGGAATGATGGATGAGAGTGGCACGGATGGATGGATAGTGGAGTGGGGATGGATTGGATGAGAGGTCGATTGACGTGTGGGTGGAGGGCATGATGATGGATGCATGCATGATGGATGATGGATGGGATGGGATGATAGCGTGGAATGGATGGATGGATGGACTGGATGGCATGGAATGGATGGCATGGATGTAGGTGTGGGTGGCAAACTGATATGGATTGGCATGTATGGATGCATGATGAGATATGTGTGGTGATGATTAAGTGATGGGTGAGGATGGATGATGATGAGGTGGTATGAATGATGGTGATATGATGGATGGGATGGAGAGGTGGATGGCTGGGATCGGAGAGGTGGAGGTAGTGATGGATGGAGAAGGATGGATGGATGAGAGGTGATGGGTGGATGGATGGGAGAGCGGTGGAGATGGATGGAGAGGTGGATGGATGGATGGATGCGACGCAGGTGGATGGGATGGACGGAGAGGGATGGGGGTGGATGGATGAGAGGTGGATGGATGCGATGGAGAGTGATGGGAGGATGGAGAGTGATGGATGGGATGGAATGGGATGATGATGAGAGGTGAATGGAATGAGAGTTGGATAGTGGATGGATGGAGAGTGGATGTGGATGGATGAAGAGTGATGGGTGATTGGATACGCAGTGTATGGAGAGAGTGGATGGAATGGATGGATGGAGAGGTGATGGGATGGACGAGATATGTGTGGATGATGTGTGGATGGATGGAGAGGTGGATGGATGGGTGGGTGGGGGAGGGTGGGTCGGGGGAGGGAGATGTGCCATGAGTTGGAGCTGCTGGGAAAGAGACCTCTTGGCCGAAAGAGGTCATCGAGAGCCCCGCGCCCGCCACAGGCAGCCTGCGACGTCTTCTGCGTGGGGGATGACGTCAACATCGAGAAGGCCAACAACTCTCTCATCAGCAACGACCGCAGCTGGAAGAGGAACAAGTTCCGCCTCACCTATGTCGCTGAAGCTCCGGAACTCGCACAAGGTACTTCCCGCCACCCTCCTGGGGCACTCTTGACGGCGGGGAAAGGGAGAGGTGGGAGGCCTCCCCCAAGAAGGCGCTCAGAGAACGCGGGCCTGGCCCCTCTGGCCCCCTGCGGCGCGGCGACTGCGCGGCTGCTGCCCCAGCTCAGTAAACCGTGTGCGGGAAGGAGTCTCTTTCTGCAGGAACACACTGTGGTCCCCCGAACCCTCCTCTCCGCAGCTTGGTGCACCCAAATTTGCTTCTCATTCTGCATTGTCCGCGACCACCCCACCCGTCCCCGCCAAGCCCGCCTGACCCCTTCTCCCCCGTCTCTTTTCGCCGGAGGGCGCTAGAAGCGGGAGTGGAGTCTGCAGAGGGCTGGGAGGTTTACGCACGGCCGTCCCGTCGTGCATCTCAGGAAAGCCCGTTGCTCCTCTCGCCGCAGGTCTGTCCAACGTCCACAAAAAGCGAGTCTCCGCCGCCCGGCTCCTCAGCCGTCAGAACCTGCAAAGCCCTAAGTCCAGGTGAGGGCGCGTCGGCTCACGCAACCACCCGCCTCTGTCCCGGATGCCACCGACACTGGGGGGGGGCGACTCGCTCGCCCCAAGGACTGGCCTCCCGTTTCCCGGCCGTTGCAACGTGCCGTGGGGGCCCCGGGTGCTGCCGCGTGGCCTCTGGGTTTCCTGCTTTTCCTTTTCCACGCTGCGACCCGGAGGCGTGGTGGGAAAAGGAGGTGGCGTTGATCAGTGTGGAAAGAGGAGAGAAAATGGTTTTATGAGCAGTTTGGAACGGTGGACCACGCCCCTGTAGAACTGCTGAATGTCCACTGTACTACAGCATCTTAGGCAGCAATCGCTTGGCCATGGAGTGCCGGAAAATGGCCACCCAGACTCCTCTTAAATTCCTTTGGGATGACGGGGGGCTCACTACCTCACAAAACAGCCCGCTCTGTGTTTTAAAGTCCTACTTGTTAGAAATTATCTTAATATCCAACATAACCAAACCTCTTAATAGCTGATATAAGCGTGTCTCCCTAATGCTTCATGTGAAACCCAGTTGTGCTCTATGGTAACACCCAAAACAAAGTCACTTCTCCCAAAGGAAACACCCACAGACAGCTAATGACACCGACCGATCCCCCGAGTGGGTCCTCATTCCTCCAAGTCATGCCTGCTAAGACCTGAGTCCCCGAGCTTTTGGCTTTAGTAAAAGGGCACGGCCCGTCCCGCTGCAAGTGCCGTCCCCAGACCTGGTCCCAGGGCTCTGACAGCCGGTCTGTCCTCCCACTACGCTGTCACGTCCTCTCAAAGTGCTCAAACCACGTCTGTCCGCCCTCTACTTACAGAAGTGAAGGTCTCCACGTGGATCCCTGTTGAATGGAATCCTTTTCACTTTGCAGTTACCCCCACCAAGATCTTTTGAAAGGTTGATTCTTTGCATGGCGTAGTGCAAAGAGTGGGCTCCGTGGGTTATGACCCCTCTGTGCCACACAGCAGCTGTGTGGCCTTGGGCAATTCACTCAGGCGCTCTGAGCCCCTGTCGCCTTGCCTGTAAAACGAGAAGGACCAAGTATAAAGATGGCTAATGTGTATCTAGAGCAGACATCCTCAAACTACACCCCGAGGGCCACACGCGGGCCACCTAGCACATTTATCCGGCCCGCCGGGTGTTTTTGCTGCCGCTGCCTGTCCTGCTTAGCAGTCGACTCGTCCCGGGCCCACAGTGCGCAGTCTCCAACGGTCTGAGGGACAGGGAACTGGGCCCCCTGTTTAAATAGTTTAGGGACCCCTGATCTAGAGCTTTCTACGTTGCAGGCACTGTGCTTGGATGGCTCAGGATTTGAGCCACCCAGGACGTAGGGACTGTTGTCATGGATGTTTTAAATATGAGAAACGACAGTTAGAAAATGCAAGTGACTTCTTCAAGGTCACGCCGACCCGGTTGTCTGCCGCCAAAGTCAGTGCCAAATGGCTACACAGATGGCCTCCACAGCATTGCAAGGCTGCTGCTGTATTAAGGACAAGGGACATAAAGCCATTAGCCTGTCACAGATGCCCGCCACTCTTCCTGAGCCGCCCCAGCTTCATGTCACCTATAGACGTAGCCTGCGTGTTTTCTATGGAGCCTTCCAGACCTTTGATAAAAGCGACAACAGCACAGAGCCCCGGGGCACTCGTGTTCTCTCCCGGATCCTCAAACATGAAAGGAATGGCTTGGGGAAATTAATCTCTTTGAATAATTAGCCAAATGCAACATCCAAACCACAACGACCTCTGATACAAAGCGGGACTCTGTGTTTGATTATACATGTCTCACTTTTCATTTCTGTCCTGCAAAAGGTATGACTTACGTAGCTTTAGAAGAGAAAGCCTAAGAATCTACTGGCAATTTCTTATAGCAACAAACTAGGAAAGGCTAGTTTATAAAAATTATGCCCTAAATCAGGGGTCCTTAAAGTTTTTAACCAGGGGGCCAGTTCACTGTCCCTCAGACCGTTGGAGGGCCGTTGGAGAGAGCGGTGCACATTCCACACATGCGCACTGTGGGCCCGGGGCGAGTCGGCTGCTAAGCAGGACAGGCAGCGGCGGCAAAAACACCCGGTGTGCCGGATAAATGTTTTCGGAGGGCCGCATGTGGCCCGCAGGCTGTCGTTTGAGGACCCCTGCCTAAATCATAATCAGCAAGGAAACTTGCAAACGTTTAGATTCTAAGTTAAACCAAAATCCCAAGATCAGCCCCGACCCACCTCCGGGAGAGGCAACTAACTCTTAGGTGAGGGTCTAAAAGTGACTCGCAGGAGAATAATCCCAATAAGGTCAGGAACTGGAACATTGTATTATAAAATCAGTTACGCATTAGCACAAAAAGGACCAAATCATACCTGGGTGTTTATCTCTTCTAAAGCCTACTCTGTAGCACTACCCATTTTCACACTGAATACCATTTCCAGCTTTATAAGGCTTATTAAAAAAAAAAAAAAAAAGATAATTGAGTAGAAAACCATGACTCTCCCATTTTCTCCTGCCCAAGGCCAAAGTTGGACTGTTTGGCCCAGGAGGCCATAACCGAGATATCACTCATCACCCCACGAGGGACCCTTAATGGCGAGCAAAGTGCTTGAGAGGCAGGATGTAGCCTTTTGAGGGTGATCCTTGCAAATCTTAAGAGAAAAGTGACCACAGCCACCATCACCGCCTGGAAATACATTTTCTGATGTACGCAAAACAATTAGCAAAGGATACAGGAGAGAGGGTATAATGGAGCGCTGATGGGTGGGGTGTAGGTAATTAATCCTAGACGTTGGGAGGAGGGAAAATGCTGGGTTTGAGGGGAACCTCTAAGGGAGGGTGGGGCTTAGACAGGCGGAAGCAAGGAGGGGGTCCAGGAGGAAGGACCAGCAGGAGCCAAGGTTAAAAGAGGGCCTGAGCACCGGAGTGCTTTGGGGAATGGTGGATATTACAGTGGGGAGTTCTTGGTGGGGGGAAATGCTTACTTCTCACCTCCCTGCAAAAGAGATTGCTTCTCTGAAGCCTTCCCCACCTCAACAGAGGACATCAACATTTGGCTTCAGCCCAAACCTCCCAACTTGTCTCCTTGTTTCTTGGCTTCCGCCTCAAAGATCCATTTTCTAAACAGCAGCCAGATTCCCCTCTTTCCTGCCCCAGGGCCTTTGCACGCGCTCTGCCCCCTTCCTGGAACACCATGCCTGTAGATCGTTGCGTCCCCACTTCTTCCCATTGCTCAGGTCTCTGCGCAAGCGTCAGATCACCAGAGAGGCCTCCCCCCAACCGTCCCATCTGATGGCAGCCCCTGCCCTACAACCTGTCACCACCCACCCGTCCACACCACCAACCCCACCGGAGATGTTTTAAGTGACTTCTCCGGGAGAACAGGACACTTGGTCATCCTTAGCCCACACTCCTGCACCAGTGCCCAGAACAGTGCCTGACACGCGATACAAGCGTGTCGAACGAATGAACCGTGTTGACTCAGATGGCTCACAACTGACAGTATTGCCTCATTTCATGGAAGAAGGACGATTAGCTTTTTTTTTTCACCATTTAATGGTGGAGGTTAGCAGATTGTTCTTTGATCTGCGAACCTGTCATTGAACCACCGCCAAGTATGTGTGCATACGTGTGTGTGCATGTGTGTGCGTGCGTGTGCATGCATGTGTGTGTGCGTGCGTGCGTGTGTGCGCGTGTGTGTGCATGTGTGTGAGATGCTTCCCTACGTGGATATAAACACATCCCACGCAGGGGACGTCCTGGTGGAGAATGGGACGTAGCCCCAGGCTGGTGCTGTCCCACCACTGCCCTGTTCCCCCTCTCCCTGTACTTCTCAGTGGCCCATATGTATCCCAAGCTTTGAGAAGAAAATTAATAATTTAAGAATCCTACACTTAGAAACGCCCAGCAGAACTGAGATTTAAGACAATGGGTTTCGGGGCCAGAGCTAGTGCATCAGGGGCCCGGCAAAGCCTGGAGGACCAGCTCTCAGGGCGGGACCGCGTGGCCGTGCCGTGCCGTGCCGGGCTCCTGGCCAGCGACCTGCAGAGCCCCCTGTTTAAACTCCAGCAGGGCCGAGCCTGGGCCCCACCTGCCAGCAGCCCTGCCCCTTAGCCGCGGGACCACCCTCTGCCTCGCTCAAGAGGACTTGAGGGGAGGTGGCCGTGCTCGTGAGCCAGCTCAGCAAGGTGGGACCTCCGCGTGTCTATTCTGTGCAGATCGTGATGATCTGGGAAGAAAGGGGGAATTGATTCGCGGGCCTTTCAAAGGCTCCTTTCGAGTGTGTGTGTGGGGGGGGCTCCCAAATTAGAAGCCCCACAGCGCCCCCTGCTGGCCGCCGGCCTGGGCTCAGCCCCAGCCTGTGGCCAGTGGGAGGTGGTGACGTGTCACCGCCCGGTGTGAGCTCAGGGAATCGATTGCACGAGTCGGTAGAATTGATAAGATCAGTGCCCCACGCGGGGCAGAATCTTCCCAGGGAAAGAAAGCGGGACCCCAGCCCCCCCCCACACTGCCACTCACAATTATGGTTGTCAGATTTCCCACCACACTAAGGGCGGGGGTGCCTTGCTTCAAGAAAATACTTGACACCCCCAAATGATGTGCCAGCTCAACCACTTTTAATAATGGTGGCTATTTGCAGCACAAAGGGGCTCTCGGTTGTGCCAGAAACGCCTTTCAGTAGCGAGTCCCATTGGTCTATTCAGGCGTTGATTTACATACCACAGAGAATATGGAAACTTCATGTTGAATATCAAGCGTCTCTAGCTGCTGAAACCCAGTTGGCAGCGAAGAAAGAGCAGATCTGAGAAGCAGCCGTAGCTCAGAGGGTGCAAAGGAATTCGATGTACCAAGGCGTGATCTGTCTCATTATGTGGAGTGCAGAGTATCCACCAAAACGGTAAAAGGGACCAGTACAGTCCCCTTCTGAGAGCTCATTCTGGAAGCCTTGTGGTTAGCACAGGACTCCTGAACTTGAAATGCAAAACTCCATGCGGAAAAAGCGTGACCCGGCTGGCATAAAGGAGATTCCCTCTGCGTTTTCTTTCTAGATCTCTCGATTTTGTGGTGATGGTGGATTTATGCATGAGAGGAACCTGAGCTTAAGGCCAGGTCTTCTTTCCCCTAAACCGTGATAGTGTGAGGATGCCTGTTGCCCAAGGGGATGAGTTTGAATTTCCTAGGAGAGATAGAATGTCACAGTTTGGGGACACCACTGCCCGTGGTTCTGATGGCGTGCTAGTCCCCAAGGGAGCCCCTCTTGGTGCTGAGAACGGGGTGCCGGAATCCAACACAAGGGAGCAGAGGAGGAGGGAGGGCGTGGCTCTGTCTGATGCTGTTCCGATGATCTGGGTGAGCCCTGGGACGTTGGATTTGCAACGAGGACCTCGGGGGCGACCCTGATACAAGCCTCGGTGTGGAGTGATGGGGGCACGAGCTTGGTTGGCACAGGCCCCAACCAGGAGGACGGAAGGAGGGGAAGTGCAGCCACCAAGGAGGGGCAGAGGAGCACAGAAAGGGGGCGATGGCTGGTGGCCCTGGTCCTATCGCTCCCCCCAATTCCCAACAGCCGATCCACCATCTTCGTGCGGCTCCACACCAACGGGCACCAGGAGCTGCAGTACCAGCCTGGGGACCACCTGGGCATCTTCCCCGGCAACCACGAGGACCTGGTGAGCGCCCTGATCGAGCGGCTGGAGGACGCGCCCCCCGTCAACCAGATGGTGAAGGTGGAGCTGCTGGAGGAGAGGAGCACGGCTCTGGGTAACGCGCCCGGCCCGGCCCTTCTCCAGGGGGGCAGAGACTCGGGGTGTCTGGGGACAGGGGGAACGGGTCTCCTCCCCCCAGTCACCAACCCGGGTGGGAGAGCGGGTCTCTGTCACTTCCACCTTAAGAGGTTGAGCACTCCCCCTTTCTCCTGGGTGACCTGGCGACCTTGGCCCAGCTCAGTGGCTCCTCATTAAGAACAAGGGTTTCCACCAGAGCGGTCGGTCGCTCGCGCCTGTAATCCCAGCTCTCTGGGAGGCCGAGGCGGGCGGATTGCTCAAGGTCAGGAGTTCAAAACCAGCCTGAGCAAAAGCGAGACCATGTCTCTACTATAAATAGAAAGAAATTAATTGGCCAACTAACATATATATATATATATATATATATATATATAAAAAATTAGCCGGGCATGGTGGCGCATGCCTGTAGTCCCAGCTACTCGGGACGCTGAGGCAGGAGGATTGCTTGAGCCCAGGAGTTTGAGGTTGCTGTGAGCTAGGCTGACGCCACGGCACTCACTCTAGCCTGGGCAACAGAGTTGAGACTCTGTCTCAAAAAATAAATAAATAAAAATAAAACAAAATAAAATAAATAAAAAAAAGAAAGAACAGGGGTTTCCACCTTCCTGCATCAGCTAGATGCTGATTTTAGCGGTAGCCACTCTTCTTATTTTCTTTATCGCCACCACCCCCAAAAAATCTGCGTTCCCCACTGCCCACCAAGCGAAGGACAGCTGAAGGCTCATCCTGCCTCCTCTTAGCATCGAAAGGTGCTATGTGATGCGCGATGGCCGACTAGCAATGGAGCCCACACGCTTGACCTCGTTAGATCAAATTCCAGGCTGTTTAAGTGGCCTTCCTTGACGTTCATATGGAAGAACTTTCACAGGCAAATGGGTCTCAGCGCCTTCATCTCAGTAAGCACAGGGCTCGGGGACAAGGCACTGCAGTGGCCTTGCCTGGCAGCGTGGTACCATGACTGTCACATAGGGGCCAGAGGGGACAGTCAGGGCGGAATGTGAAAACAGTATGATAGTCAAAGCCCTATTCAAAACCCCTTAGGAAGGCACCACTTTGCAGACACGATCTTAATAAATCCAACCCAGCCCGTCCTTCCTCTGTGTCGAAACACAGCTGCTTTTTTTTTTTTCCTTTCTTTCTTTCTATTTATTTATTTGGTTGGTTTTTGGGTTGGTGTGTTTGGGTTTTGGTAGAGACAGGAACTCCCTGTGTTGCTCAGACTGGTCTCGAACTCATGGCCTGAAGCAGTCCTCCTGCCTCAGCCTCCCAAAGTGCTGGGATTACAGGCGCGAGCGACAGTGCCTGCCTGAATCGGCGCTTTTCATCTGGGGCTGAACGCCTGATGCAGGAGAGCCTGCTGCTTAGGGGCCGAATGGGATGGAAAGCACACAGAGGCCGTGCAGTGTAGCAGTTAGAACACGGTCTGAAGCCAGCCTGCCCGACTTCACACACACATGAGCTGTGTGACCTTCGACCGGTTCCTTCCACTCTCTGTGCTTCCATTTTTCTCCATGGGGATGGGAATAGCACCCACGACCACCTTGGATCGTTGTGATGATATAACTGAGTTGATAATATAAAGGACTGAGGATAGCACTTGGCGTATAGGAAGTGCCAGATGAGTATCGGTTAGCCATGCTTGTCATTCTGAACATTAGAATCCACTGGGGGGGGGGTGAGAGGCTCACAACGGAAAGGACAGATGGGATCAAAGTAGACTCACATCTCACGTGCAGTCGGAGGCTCCCCGCGTAGCACGCCAGTGGTCTGTCTCGAGCTATTGGGATACGTTAATATTTTTCTCCTCCTTCCATGTTTATTTTTGAATGTGTAGACTAGTGTGCCTCATTGACTTGGGCCCTGCTTCTTGCACACACGAGGTGACCACTCGGCCACCCGGGTGCTGGGTGTGGATGGGGGGAGCGTGGACAGCAAGGGGCCGCCTGTCTCTGGGCCCGCCCTGCTCCCCCGGCCCCCTCCTCTGCCCCAGGGGCAGGCCCGGACCCTGGACTCGAACCCGGGCCCTCCCGCCGTTGTGGCTCCGCAGGCGTCATCAGCAACTGGACGGACGAGCACCGCCTGCCGCCGTGCACCATCTTCCAGGCCTTCAAGTACTACCTGGACATCACCACGCCGCCCACGCCCCTGCAGCTGCAGCAGTTCGCCTCCCTGGCCACCAGCGACAAGGAGAAGCAGCGCCTGCTGGTCCTCAGCAAGGTGGGTGCCCCGGCTTCGCACAACCCTAGGGGGCGCCCTTCGCCTCCGGGTGGCTGGGGAGTTGTGAGGCTGCTGTTACAGCAGTCTTCCAGCAGGTGGCGGCCTTGGGCAAAGGCTGCCATTTTCCGGTTTGCGGAAGGTTGCCACCCGGGCCAGCTGTTAATAAATAGCTGGGTCTTGCTAGGCATCACCACCCCTCCTCGTTCTCACTAAGGCCCGACAGAACAAGAGTGACCCCGCTTGAATCTCAGAGTTCTCTGGCTGCAAGAGAAATTGCTGTTCTGACTCTTTTAAGAGGACTCTGATGGTGAGGTGACCCAAACACACACAGCCTTTCTGAGCACCCTTGCTTAGCAACCATGGACTCGCCTGTCCCAAGCTGCTGCAAGACCTTGCTCAGTAAGAACACTACCCAGGAGCCGGGCATGGTGGCTGCCATCTGTAACCCTAGCAACTCAGGAAGCTGAGGCTGGAGGATCGCTTGAGGCCAGGAGTTTGAGACCAGCCTGGGCAACATAGCAAGACCCCCATCTCTAAAAAGAAAGAAAAGAAAAGAAAGAAAAGAATCTTACCCACGAGGACCGCCCAGGGGTTCCTCCCAGGTGGGAAGGGGGGGCTCCTTTCTAATGAGCAAGCCCCCAGCCCCAGCAAAGGATGGTTTGGCTTTCTTCTGCTGTCAGGTAGAGGGAATTGAATGGTGAGCAGCAAGAGAGAGGCCAACTAGTGAGAGCGTGTTATTTAGAAATATGAAAATCAACACCAGAAGAAACAATTAAAGAGTTGTAAGTGATTACCTCTGGGGAGTCAGAAACAGATGGCAGAGGTGGAAGAGGAGACCATTATTTTTAATCACAAGCTTTGCAAAATTATGTAGCTTTTGAGACTATATACAAGTATAATTTTAATTTAAAACTTTTAATCAGTGGGGTGGGGGGGGGTCGTAGGAAGAAGGACCAGAGATTGCAGTGCTTGCGTAGCATTATTTAAAGTTCAAATTGATATGCCTGTATGTATTAGTCCATTCCTTCCTAAAAGTACACAGACTCCAAGGTGGGGTTAAATGAGCAAGAATTTTTTGTTTTTTGAGACAGAGTCTCACTCTGTTGCCCAGGCTAGAGTGAGTGCCGTGGCATCAGCCTAGCTCACAGCAACCTCAAACTCCTGGGCTCAAGCGATCCTGCTGCCTCAGCCTCCCGAGTAGCTGGGACTACAGGCATGCGCCACCATGCCCGGCTGATTTTTTCTATATGTATTAGTTGGCGATTAATTTCTTTCTATTTATAGTAGAGACATGGTCTCGCTCTGATCCCAAGTGAAGGAAAGGGAAGAAAGGTTGGGCAAAAGCATCCTAGACTGCATTGCAATTTAAGGAAGGACCAGCAAGGGACGTGGGGAGGCCAGGATCTCTCCTGGGCTCAGTCATTGGCTAGAAGCAGCCTGGGGAAGCCAGACCTGCGGCCAACACAAGGTGATGTCAGTTTCCCGTGGATGTCAGTTTCAGGTGCATGTCAGTTTCAGGTGGATGTCAGTTTCAGGTGCATGTCAGTTTCCTGCGGATGTCAGTTTCAAGGAGTTGAGCGCTGAGGCTCCTGGTCCATTGCGCTCCTACAGCTGAAAACCAGTAAGGCTGGATCTAAGAGGCGCAGTCTCAGTAGACTTGACCCCTGGCCTCAGAAACTGAGCCTCCTGTCCTGGCAATGAGGGGAGCTGCCCAGGGCATCTCTCTGAGATGTAGGAAAAATATCTCCAGAGCCCCAGAGAGTTGCTCTGTTCCCTGGTAACAGCTGAGCTTTGCTGTCAACACGCCCCCAAATATACGTTCCTCCACACACCCCAAACTGTTTTTCCGGGGCTGTCACCTACCGTCCTGAAAGTGACCCACGCTCTCTGCAGATGCATCTGACCCCCTGTAACCAGCGAATCGCAGGTCTGCGTTCTGTGCCTGCCACCCCCTGCCGCCACCTCTCCTAGCGAGTCATGACTCCTTCTGCAGTGCTCGTCCTTCAGGAGTATGTGGTGGCCGGGAGCACAGGTTCTGGGGACAGACTGCCCAGAGCAGGGGTCAGCAGACTTTCTGTAGAGGGCCGCTGGGCAGTAAATATTTTAGGCTCCCAGCCCATTTAGTCCCTGTCCCAACCATGCCACCTCGCCTTTGTAGTTCTACAGCATAGAGGATATGTAAACGAACGGGTGTGGCCATGTTCCGATCGAACGTTATTTGTGGACAAGGAAGTTTAAATTTCATATCATATTCTTGTGTCATGAACTATTATTCTTTTTTTATATATATATATATATTTCCCCCAACCATTTAAAAATGTAAAAGCAATTCTTGCCTTGCAGCCACACAAAACAGGCTCGTGGGCTGAAGCCTGCCACCGTCTGGCTTAGATTCAAAACCCAGCAACACCTAGTAGTGCTATGTCCTCTTTGACCCTCAGTTTCCTCATCTATAAAATGCGAATAACAGTAAGACCTATTTCATAAGGTCCTCGTGAGAATTGAAACCTGGCCTGGAATAACAACTGTTTAAGCGTTAACGTTGACTACTTTTATGTTGCCTTCTTCTTCCCGGGCCTCCTTGGGTCCTTGTTGGAAATACACAGGAGCTGGGTTCCAGCTCGTCTCTGTCCCTCTCCCTGGCACAGGGTTTGCAGGAGTACGAGGAGTGGAAGTGGGGCAAGAACCCCACCATCGTGGAGGTGCTGGAGGAGTTCCCGTCCATCCAGATGCCTGCCACCCTACTCCTGACGCAGCTGTCCCTGCTGCAGCCACGGTACTACTCCATCAGCTCCTCCCCGGACATGTACCCGGACGAAGTGCACCTCACCGTGGCCATCGTCTCCTACCGCACCCGAGGTGGGCAGGGGCACAGGGCGAGCCTCCTGGTCTGCATCTTCCCCCAGGAGTCCCTAGAGGACTCCCCTAAACCACTGCCCACCCCCTAAATCCCAAATCCCGGGAAGGAGACTCATGCCCAAGGCCAGGGCACTGGGGGAGGAGGCAGCAGGTGAGCTGTCCCCCGGGACAGAGCCAACCCTGAGCAGAACTGGGAAAGGGGCAGGACATGCATTTGGAAGCCTCAGCTGTCCCCAGTCCTGCGGTCCCTTTCACTCTCTGCATCCCCTCCTACCCCCACAAGGCAGCGACTAGAACAAGCCACCACCACCCATTCCCCGGGGGGACTGGCTGCTGCCTCATGCTCAGCTAGTTGTGGGTCAGGTAACTCAAGCCCTGCTCCCGTGTTTTCCCTCCTTGCCTTGATATAAAGCAATTAAAATGCGCAGTGCCCGAGCGCTCTGAGACCAGGACCCCGGCAAGCCACCCAGAGCACCTTTCAGCGGGCAGGATTGGAATCCCACCCACCCCTACCCGACAGAGCCCTGGGGAGTCGCCCAGGGGACAATACACACAAAATTCCAAGGCAGAAACTTGCCACTGGGCCTGGGGGTGCTCTGCATCAGAGGGCCAGGGGAGGAGACCGTGACAGCTTGGGGACAGCGGGTGACCCAGGCCACCCGGCTTATTGTGCTAGATGGAGAAGGACCAATTCACCATGGCGTGTGCTCCTCCTGGCTCAACCGGATCCAGGCTGACGAGGCGGTCCCCTGTTTCGTGAGAGGGTGAGTAGCAAACGGAGAGAAATGAGCGGATGTCTCCGATCTGCATGTTGATGTCATGACGTGGGGTAGGTGGGCCGGCCGGAAGGGATCTAGAGAGGTGGCTGTTCACGTGGTATAGAGACCCATGTCCCGCATCACTACTCCAAGTGATCGAGGATACAGGATCACGGACAGAGCAACACAGCAAGCTAAGCAAGTCCTCTGGTCCTGCGGTCCCCAACCCCTGAGCTGGAGCCTGGTACCAGTCATGGCCTGTTAGGACCCAGGCCGTGCATTACCACCTGAGCTCCAGCCCCCACCGCCCTTCCATGGAAAAATCGTCTTCCATGAAACCGGTTCCAGGTGCCAAAAAGGTTGGGGACCGCTGCCATAGTCAAAGTCACATGGATACAACAGGCTGTTTACCTAGGCCGTGTGCTGAGCTAGATACCGGGGCTACAGTGGGAAACCAGGCCCATTCTGCCTCCATCTTCGTGGAATTTATGGGCTGTAGACATTCTATCCAAATTCTACCAGTGCTCCCCGTTTCTTAGAGATGGGGGAAGATCCAACCACCCCCGTTAATTGGAGTTTTTCCCCTAAAACTCCAGTTTAAAGGCTACACCAGAGCCTATTGCAGGTGTCTACATTGTTGATCAGTAACTTTTCCGCCTGCACAGTGGCTTCGGCCAATCGTTCTTCTCAGCCGTTGAGGTTAGAATATTCTCAGGATGGTCCCTGTACCATTGGCATCAGAATCCCCCTCGGTGTTCCAAAAATAGATTCCTGAGCCCAAACTCGCTGCACTGGCCAGGAATCTGCACTTTGGGCATCTCCGGTTGAATCTTTTATGCACACAGTCTGTGCTCCCCTGGTTTAAAGACTTCATGGATGGGTAAATAAATCAGTGGTCCTCAAGCCAGAGTGATTCCCACCTACCCCACCCCACCCCAGCCCGGGACACTGGGCACTGTTTGAAGATATTTGGGGTTGTCACAACTCAGGGGTGCTCCTGGCGTCTAGCGGGGAGAAGCCAGGGGTGTTGCTCGACATCCTACAATGCACAGGGGACAGCTCCATGACAAAGGAGCATCTAGCCCCAAGTGGCAGGTGTGCCAACGTAGAGAAACTGGGTCCAATCGATCCCACTGCCGTCTGTGATTCAGCTCAGCAGCAAGGAGAACCGGGGAATGGAGCAGCAGCCAGGCCCTGGGGACCTCCCGTTTTTGGAATTTTGGCATTCCCCTGATCTGTGGGACTCCCACCCTGAAAACATGTCTTACCTGCCTGCCCCAGCGGCAGAGCCGAGAGTCTCATCGTATGTCTGGCCGAGACGGCCACCGGGTCTACCTAAGACTCAGCCGCTCTGCATCAGATTGGAGCCCTGCGAGACTTCTGACTCTCTCTCTCGCCCTTGTACAGCGCGCCCAGCTTCCACCTGCCCCGAAATCCCCAAGTCCCCTGCATCCTGGTCGGCCCAGGCACCGGCATCGCCCCTTTCCGAAGCTTCTGGCAACAGCGGCAATTTGACATTCAGCACAAAGGTGGGTTTTGGTCGGGAAGCCAGTTGATTCCCACGCCCTGGGTCTGGGGAGGAAGAGTGGTGACATTGTCTCCCAGTGGCGTCACTGCCCGGGGGAGGGGCGGGGAACGCGGTGCCCACCTGCCCCGTAGGTGAAGTTCCTGGCGTTATTTGAATGCCTGTCTGAACAAATCTCCCTCCCAGCTTGTCCCAGGGGCCTGAAATGCCATCCCAGAGGATATTGCTTTCACCATTAAGATGTAGCTTAGCTCACTCAAAAAATCCAAAAGGAGTGATAGGCATTAGTCCTTCTCAAGTGGCTGTTTATGTGACCGTCACAGAGACCCACAAATTGTGGCACATGTGAAACACGGATTCCGTGAGCGCTTAATAAATGCCAAACAATATCATAGGTGATGGGGTCACAGCAATAAAGGAGACACAAAAACAACTCCAAGAGAAAGAAAAGCCTGCCCTGTGGAACTGTCGTTCTAGCGGAATAGCTAGCATTTGCCAAGTGCTCGCTAGGTACCGGGCACGGTCGGAATGTGTCACGCTCGTTTCTCACACTAAGCCCCCAAGGCACGTGCTGCTGTTATTTGCATTTTGCACATGGGAACACTGAGGCTTGGAAAGTTAACATTTTGCACATGGGAACACTGAGGTTTGGAAAGTTAAGTAACTTGTTCATCAGCACACCCAGCTGGGATTTGAACCCAGGACGTCTAGCTCCAGAGTCTGGGCTCTTGGCTGCTCACAGTAGTTGTGGGGGGCAGAAGGAAGGATGAGACTCAGGGAAGGGAAGGGCGGTCTGCCGAAGTCTGAACACGTTTTGCTTCCGTCCTCTGCGTGCGTGCACATGCGTGCCAGCACAAACCTCCCTGCCCGTGTTCATGAGCCCGTCTGCACACTGCACACTCAGGTCCCAGAGCCCCGCCCCTGGCCTCTCAGTCACCGCGCCACCCAAACCGGGCAGCAGAGCCCGACTGGTGACGTGAGGTCTTGCTGGTCCCCAGGGATGAGTCCCTGCCCCATGATCCTGGTCTTCGGGTGCCGGCAGTCCAAGATCGACCACATCTACAGGGAAGAGACCCTGCAGGCCAAGAACAAGGGGGTCTTCAGAGAGCTGTACACGGCCTATTCCCGGGAACCGGACAAACCAAAGGTAACCCAGCCCGTCCACAGCCCCCCAGCCCAGCCCAGCCCAGCACACTGGTGCACACGCTCTTGTGGACACACTGGCACGGCCCACTCCGAGAAACCGCCCCCCACCCTCGTTCATCCTGACTCTTCTCTGCAAACTTGCTCTGCGATTCAAAAAGCGCAGACAGGGAAAACATCTATTTAAAATATTTAACAGCCCGCATTTTAGGATTCCACTTACATGCAATATCCGGAATGGGCGGATCCACAGAGACAGACAGTGGACGAGTGGCTGCCAGGGGCCGGGGGAGGGGAAGCGGGAAGCGGCCGCTCACGGGTACGGGGTTGCCATTTGGGGTAAGAAAGTTCTGGAACTAGATAGCGATCGTCGTCGGGTAACGTGGTGAATGGTGCCTGATGCCACTGAATTGCACACTTTAAAGTGGCTACAATGGTCCGTGTTATGCGATGCGTATTTTACCATAGTAACAAATATTACAACTGTATAAAAATAGGAATTTTTAAAAACATGTATTTAGCAGCCCATGAGAGGCAGTACTGGTCAGAGAAGACACAGGCCGTACACAGGACAGGAGCATGTTCCTATCAGATGCTGGGGCGGTCCGGGGCATCCCCGGGAGGCGGCCAGGACACCTGGGGTTGGGGGCACTCACGGTGTCTGGGCGGTGGCTATTTGACAAGTAGAGCGGGAGGATGTCAGGAACAGCCGGAACAGCCACGCCAGGTCACTCCAGCTCAGCGGCAGCCTCCCTGCGGGGTGGGGAGTTTCCCGGACAAGTTAAAGACACCCTCAATAAGCAAGGCAACCCCTTCCTGGAGGCTGTATGGGACACCCCTGTGCCCACCCCACGTCCCCTTAGCCCACCTTTCTCTAGCTGTCACTGCAGCAGTGGCTTTGCAAATTGGAAGCCGCCAGCCCCTCCCCTCGCCCCACCTCTTGCTGTCTGTCCTGGGGCTTCGCTGGCTGTCTGGCGTAGGGCGCCCACAAACCCCTGAGTCAGTCTCAGCTCCCTGGGGTTGGGGGGACACGGGCCACAACAGGCAGGTCCCGGGTCCCCGTCCCCTCCTCACTGGCCCCCTGCTACCTGCAGAAGTACGTGCAGGACATACTACAGGAGCAGCTGGCTGAGGCCGTGTACCGGGCCCTGAAGGAGCAAGGGGGCCACATCTATGTCTGCGGGGATGTCACCATGGCCGCCGACGTCCTCAAAGCCATCCAGCGCATCATGACCCAGCAGGGGAAGCTCTCAGCAGAGGATGCCGGCGTGTTTATCAGCAGGCTGAGGGTGAGCCACGGGCCGGGATCCAGCTCCTGTCTCCTCTTCCTCACCCCAGCTGTCCCGGTGATTAGGGGAGGTGGAGAAAGTAGGAAGAAAGGCTGGCAGTGCAGGTGCAGGTATAAATATGGTTGGGGGCTGTGGTGCAGGAAAATGAGTAGCTGAACCTCTGGGGTAGCTAGACAGAAACCGTCCTCCCCCAACCCGGCCTGCTCCCAAAAGCTGCAGCACTGTTCAGTTGTACAGGTTGGGCACTGCACAAAAAGACCTGTCCAAGAAAGACAAGTAGGATCTGAAAGCTACCCCATGTTTGTCGCCCCACCCTGAAGGAAGAGCCTTTTCCTAACTTGCCAAAAGGCTGAGTAGAGGCTAGCGGCATCCCAGCAAGCAAAGTCCTAACTGTGTGAGCAACTGCTCCAAATAGAAAAAACTGAGTCCCAAACCTCCACGAGGCTCCAGGAGTGATTGTGTCCTTCTCCCTGCTTTCCTAAGCAAGCAGTGATCAGGGGTCAAACATTTTTGCAGAAGACGCCCTTGCTCTATATCTGATACTAAACCCCAGTAGGATAAAAAAAAAAAAAAAAAAAAAGAACTTTCTGGTAGAAATGTCATGGATCCAGGGAGAGCTGTGGAGACTCCCCAGATACGCAGTCCCTTTGGTCTGGCCCTCAAGAGACACCTTCATAGATTCCCCAGGACTTTGCAGAAGAGAGTCGAAAAATCACCCCAACTAAAAATGATCCCGCTGTACAGAAGGGCGACTTTCTTCAAAACCTTCACCCACGGCCGGGTGCGGTGGCTCACGCCTGTAATCCTAGCTCTCTGGGAGGCCGAGGCGGGCGGATTGCTCGAGGTCAGGAGTTCGAAACCAGCCTGAGCAAGAGCGAGACCCCGTCTCTACTATAAATAGAAAGAAATTAATTGGCCAACTAATACATATAGAAAAAATCAGCCGGGCATGGTGGCGCATGCCTGTAGTCCCAGCTACTCGGGAGGCTGAGGCAGGAGGATCGCTTGAGCCCCGGAGTTTGAGGTTGCTGTGAGCTAGGCTGATGCCACGGCACTCACTCTAGCCTGGGCAACAAAGCGAGACTCTGTCTCAAAAAAAAAAAAAAAAGCCTTCACCCAGCAGGGGACGCCGGGACGCAAGGGCATCGCCGTGCCTCCTTGGCCCTACGCGTGCTCCCAGCCCCTGCCCTCCTCGGCACAGGCGTGCCTTTTCCCTTTGTCCGGTCCTCAACCGCACTGCCCTCTGAGAATATTCTAGACCGCCCGCCCCTCGGTTCCGCCAGAGGAGGTCCCGTAGCTTCGTAGGTTCTCAGGTGCCACGAGCCCGTCCTCGCTCGGGCCGCTTCTTAAGTCTGGGGGGAAGATCCTCTCTCTGCTCGCTCGTTTGTGGGCGGAGACGCCCGTCTTCAGATCACCCGTGTGCCCAGGGGCTGTCCACTCTGGGCAGCGGCCGGGCTGTCCCCTGGGTGCTGGGCGGGCCTCGTCCTCTGCTCTCCTCTCCGCGGGTCCCTGCGGGCTGCGACGCGTCACACCAGACCCAGCTTGGCCCAGACCCGAGCCCGAAGGAGCAGGCTGGACGCAAACGGGGGGATGGCGGGGTCCCCGCTGCACCTCGTCACTGCTCTTGCATGGTGACACGCGTGTGTTCCTACGCTCTTTGCCGCTGGGCTGGAGCGGCCCCGTGTCCTGGAGAGCAACTGAGTCTTACGTGCCAAAGGCTCCTCGGGGGCGCCGGCCTCGGCCTCACTTCCTTAGGGACCATCTTCTCTAGGTGTGCCCCACCCCGGGTGACAGTGGCGTCTGTCCCCTCTCCAAGCCCCCGTCTGGCATCTGAGGGCTGTTTTCTGGCTTTCCGTGACCCTAGGATGACAACCGGTACCACGAGGACATTTTCGGAGTCACGCTGCGGACGTATGAAGTGACCAACCGCCTTAGATCTGAGTCCATTGCCTTCATTGAAGAGAGCAAAAAGGATGCCGATGAGTAAGGGGCGCCGTCCCGGGCAGGGCAGGGCGGGCAGGGCCCTCTCCCGGGGCCCGGTGGCAGGGAGGTCCCCAGACCGCAGCCCCAACACCAGCGGAGGACGTGTTAGAAATGCAGGTGCCCAGGCCCCCCGGCCCTGCTGGATCTGGAACTCTGGGGAGTTAGGGAGGGTGCAGCAGTTTGCATTTCCACAGGGAATCTGCATTTCTCCGGAGCCCCTCCGGCAGGCGCGGGTGGGCGCCCCCTAGTGGCATGACGGCACCTGCCTCTGGGGCGTTGAATTCCTACCCATTAATTAGCTTTGGTGCCTTTTACACCTCACACCCCCAAATCACCCAGGGCTTTTTCGTGGATGCGAATTACAATTCGTGTGATTTGGACACTTTAATCCAACCTGTAGAGATTGCCAGCAGTAGTCCGAGGCGCCAGGAGACTGGGGCTGAATCTCACTATTTAAACCTTACTCTAAGTCCGGGACATGGGGCCTTGGTTGTCATCTCACTGCCCCGCCCCTCTCCCCTGACCCACTCCCGGCCAGCAGAACACGTGGAAGCCGCCACTGTGTACCCATGACCTCACGCCGTGCGGGAACTCAGCCGTCTCTCCTTTTCGGTAGCACAAGACTCACGCTACTCATTTCCCAAACTCGCCATCCTCGTTGTTTCTCCTTAAGACAGCACTGCAGTCCCGGGAACATGCTTTCGCATGCAGTAGGCGCACGCCATTGCCTTTGAGATGGCCACTCCCGTAGCTGCCAGCAGGGAGACCCTTCAGGTGTCGCTGTCGCCGGGGAGAGCAGGCGCTCCCTGATTCACTCACTGATCCGTCGGAGACGCGCCCCTGCCGAGTGCCAGGCCCTGCCCAAGACACGGGGCTGCAGAAGAAATGACAGGGACGAGGCCCCGGCCCTGACCCCCCGGCCCTGACCCCTGCCCCCCTCTCCTCCCGCAGGGTTTTCAGCTCCTAACGGGACCCTCCCGCCCAGCCGGATGCAGAGCGGCCGCCCCAAGTGCCCCAGCGGGGGCAGCCGCCCCTTCCGCCAGCGCCAACAGACAGACGCTGCTGAACCTCCTCCGGGACCCACGCAGCCCTCGCTCTGCCTCTCTCGTCCTCCTCGTCGCTGTGTCCTGGTTTTCCTCTTCCGGGCTCTCGGCCCTCCTGGGTTGTCCCCCTCGAGTTTTCCTGCTGCGATGCAATGCCTTTATACTCTGCAGTGGCTCTTCCGAAACTCTGTCCCCTCCCCCCCTCCCTGCCTCTCTTGCTGACTAGGGCAAATCACGGGTGCATGAAACCACCGGAACGTGGCCGCCGCCCCTGTGCGGGTTTGTGCTCCGGGCTTCCCCTGGAAGGCGGCAGGCGCTGGACACAAGTCCTCTGAGCCAGTCCCTTGGCCGCCGATGTCCCCCCTTTTTTATGATGACGCTTTGGTCGTGCGTGTGCGTGTGTGTGTGTGTGTGCATGTGTGCCTGTGACGGGCCGGCTCTCTCGTCTGTCCTCTTGCCTGTGCAAGTGTGTTGATCTTAGATCTGAGTCCTTCGCCTTTGTTGAAGACCTTTAGTGCCAAGAAACACGCCCCCCGCCCGTGTTAATTCTTCTCGCCTCCATAATGAAGGGTTCACACCGGTGTCCCTTGGAAGCCCCCGTAACTGTCCTGGTTACAGAGGGTCAGGGCTGGGGGGTCGAGTCTGATGATCCAAGGGAAGTCCCCCAGTGAAAGCGGCATTCACAGAACTAGATGCTTTCAGATGCCTAGTTGGGGAGCCCTTACTGGAAATGAACCCATCGAACGGCTTGGGCAAAATCTCCCTCCAAATCCCCACCCCAGCCAGGGCCACCTGATTTGGCCACATTCATTCCCTTCCCCCCTCCCCGGCTCCCCAACCCAGGCGGTCCCATTTACACAGCCCAGAAGTGATGTCCACGGGAATGTGCTGGGAATAAAGAAATCTCGGGTGACTTGGGACAAGTCACTTGTCCTCAGTTTCCCCTGGCCGTCATGCTAGCAGCCTAGAGAACATGAATGGGCTGAACTTTAAAGTTTTTATAGTCTGGAAACAATATCAAGGAAGAATATGATTTTTTTTTCAATTCCCCTAAATGAGGCTGGCTGCTCCAGCCTTGGGGGTAAAACACTGAGCGCCGGTTTAAAGTGGACGGGGTTAGAAAGAAATGCCGTTTCCATGGACAGCCGCATGGCTGGTTCCGTGGGAACGGTGGGCCCTCTAAAATTGATCCCCAGGTTTTTTAACCTGCTATAAAAATGTTGACGAATAAACGCCCCACAACTCACATCAAAAGTGAAAAGCAGAGTCTTCGTTAGGAATCGGGCCGGTGCAATTTCCCCAGAAGGCGACCAACCTGCTGAGTGTCCGGGTCTCTCTCTCTCTACTTAAGTGCTAAACATCAATGTCAGGCAGTAGCCAGAAAAAACACCAAGGAATTCTGGTGACCCTCCCAGCCTGCGGGGGCCAGCCCGGGGTCCCCAAGCATGGAGGAGACGTATTCAGCCAGTTCTGTCCTGTTTTTGATGTGTTCTGTCCTACAGAAAAACCGTTCTCCATTTATACACTGTGCACGGGCATATCTTTTCGGATGCCCAGTTTGGGTGCCTGCCAAAGAGGAGGTGTCCTGGCACTCTGGAAGGGCTTGACAATGAGGCCACCGAGACCCCCAAGGGCCCAACATCCAAGATTCTAAAAGGGAAAGCCGTGTCCCCCTGTTCTCTGCCGTCCCTGGCAGCCCCTGCCAGTGTCTCTTTCCTGGCACACAGATTTCGCTCCAAGCCAGTTATGATCTCCCCCTGCCTGCCTTTAATGCCATTTTCTCCTGCTCGGTCTTCCACCGACACAGAGACAAACACTCAGCACCCCCCCACACACACACACACCACCCCTTTCTAACCTGGAGGAAAATCCATTGTGACAACTTCTTCCCTGCAAACACAATTCTGGCTCCTACTAGATCTTCTGCTAAGGGAATTTTTTTCCCAATCCTTTACACCTTTGCAAACACTTCCTAAGCTGTCACCAGTTGTTCCCCAGGGCCTGAACTGCTGTGTCCAATCTCCATCAAAGAGAAACTGATCAATTGCTTTCCTCTCTAAGGCAAGCTTTATGCATGGAATCTTTCCCACCACCAAATGAATACTTAGGAGCGCTTCCTATGTGCCAGGCACCGTTTCCCTGCATATCCCTGCCCTTCTATATCAGGTAGGCAGATGGAAACATCCCATTTTGTTGGAGAATCCAAAGAAACACTATTTATATATATATATATAACCAGGATGCATGTTTCTTCCCAAGAAGGATTTTTTTAAATAGATAAGTAAACACCTTTCAACCCAACACGAGCTGCTTCATGGCTCCTGGCTAGAAGACAGGAGACCGAGCTGATGTGTTTCTGTCCTTTGCCGGAATTCCTGGTATCAGAAACCTCACTGCGATGACTAGCCAATCCAGAGGAAAAAAAGCAGCTCAGAGTCCAGACTTAGAATCGAGCTCAGATCCAGGGTGGGTAAATACTGCCCTCTTGTGGTGGTTTTTAGGTCAGACACCATAGCCAAAAAAAAACGGTGCAAAATGGGATTAAGCAACAAGTGAGCAAAAAGAAGAGTTGACTGGGTATTTGAGGGTTACCCAGCAGTGGCCCATTTATTGCCCTCTTCCCCTCTAATTGGCCGATAGCAGCTCCAACCCCATTTCACAAAAGGGAGTTTGGCCGGGAGGAACGAGACGTCTATAACAGAGCGGCTGGAACACCACGCTGTTCTAGCCTGTACGAATCCCGTGCTCACACCTCATGTTGCAGAAAAGCAGAAGCCGTTTCAGGCTCTTGTGGGAAGTGAGAGCTTCCCTTGGTTTCCCTGGAGTGAGACAGCCAGGTGTCTTGCTTTGGTGGGGAACCCCTCAGACCCACCAAAATAGAACTTTGGAAGCTGGCCTGGGTGCCGCCCCCAGCTCTTCCCCGTTTATGCAGGCGGCCGTGGGCTGATCACTTGGCCTCTCTGAGTCTGCAGAACAAGCCGGATTGCATGAGACGATGCCCACAGGACGCCCAGTGACAGTACCTGGCCCAACAGTTATCGCATTGCCATTTTTCACTCCTGCAGAAGGTTAGAATCTGGTGGGGACAGACACCATTCTCATAGTTGACCTCAATGTCTGGTAGATTTTGAAAGATAAGGATCTGCCAGGAAGCGGGAAGAGTGGGAGGAACACCATGAACGGGGAGCGCGTGGGGTAAATCGAGGCTGGCTCCGCAAGGCCCAGGAGGGTGGCGGTGGTGAGGAATGCTAGACCGGACAGCGGGGAGAGGGGAGGAATTGAGACTGCTTCCCAAGAGGTCAGGTTCTGCCCTAAGCCCAGAACAAGTGAGAGGTGTTCTGCCCTCACCCCTGGGTGCAGACAGCCCTGCCAGGGTGGGCAAGCCGATGGCTGGGGCCCCCAGTACAGCTTTGCATCCATGCCCTTAGGAAAACCATGGGCTTCTAGGTTGCGTTTTAAGCCAGCCCCGTTTCCTGGTGTGCTTGCATCTCAGCGCGTCCCTGCGCCGCCGGTGACCTCAAAGCCTTCTGTCCCAATCGGCAAGGCAGCCTGGGACCGCCAGCAGGTGCCCAGGAGAGAGAGCCACTAGCTGAGCCTCCTGTACAACCCGTCTCTACTCCCTGTCTGTCCCCAACCTGTGTAAAGTCCCCTGCATCCAAGTGTCCTGTTTGGCTCGAAAACTAAAGCCCAGGAGTCGGGATGGAGGGAACGCAGGCCTGAGAGGCTGAGGGAAGGGACCTGCCTCCTAGAGAGACTCAACACAGATGTTCCCCACGAACGTGGCTTTGACCTTGGGGGCTGCCACGGGCCTGGCCTCCCTCTCTCTCACACCCACCCCTCAATCCACGGCCAGCCCCTGCCTGGCGTCAAAAGGACCCCAAAAGAAAAGCTGCCTCTGCACAAACGCTGCTGTGTCCCAAATGTGAGGACCGAGGTACACTTTCACCCGTGGATGGCGGCGTCTGTCTGGGGTCTGTGTTCTATGAATTCTTGTCCAAGTGCAAGGGGGTGGACAGGAGTCAGTATGCCTTAGCCTGTGGATGAGTTTGTTTTGTCCTGGCGTTCCCGAAGGGTCTGGAGGAGCAGGCGCACCTGTCTGGTCCCAGACACATGGACGAGATGGCCCTGGCAGGCAGGACCCCTCTGCCTTAACGCACGGCTTCCTGGAGTCTTTTAGAAAATGGCTCTGGGACATCAAAGTGCCCAGATTTGGCTGCGAGGCTCTGGGAGACTCTGGGCCTGGGGCTGTCAGCCTCCGCACTGTTGGCATTTGGGGGCAGGTAATCCTTTGTCGTGGGGCCTGTCCTGGACAGCGCAGAATGCCGAGCAGCAGCCCTGGCCTCTACCCACTGGATGCCGGCGGCAGACTCGTGCCAATGGCGACAGCCACCCGTGTCATCAGACGTTGCCCCGTGTCCCCCGGGGTCGGAGGGGGAGGGGGGCGACACCTCCGGAGCTCTCCTTGGTCCCCTGGTTCCTTCCGTTGTCTGCCGCGGGGACCCGCAGGTGTTGCAGGGCGGGGCCGTGCGTGTGTCAGCTCAAACGCCCTCCCTCGCCGGAGGGTGGCGGTTGCATTTCTATCAGATGCCGCGTCCCTGGTGCCGGTGTCCCCTGCTCCTGCGCTGGGTCCGAGGCCGGCCCGCGCCCTGCCCGCTGCCCTGTTTGTGGTCGCGCGTCGTCTTCGTGACTGCAGGAGCCCCCCCCTCGAGGCCGCGGCTTTCCAGAAAGCCCAGAGAGCGGCCCTGGCACCAGGGGTGTCTGTCCCGGGGTTGGGGAAGCTGGGACGGTGGGCAGAGCCCGTGTGCTTCTCGCCACAGCCGCGCGCGTGCACGTGCACCGTGTCAGAAACTCGGCCGTCCCCTACCTCTGAGCTCTGGATGCTGCTGCTAATCTCCGCCAAGTGTCCCCGGGCTCCCGCACCTTCCTCGAAGGACTGGCGCCCGCCCCACGCTCTGCGAGGTTGTCCAGGCTGTGTTCGTCGCATGCCCCTCTGCTGTATAGCTCTCATCTTCTAATTTTATGGGAGTCCACAAAAGTCTACTTATGCCTGTTTGCATTATGGTTCAAATATTAAAAAGTGGATTCAGCTTGGCTGGCTACTGTCTTCTGTTGGGTTTGCTTGGAGGGTGAGCCTGCCCTGAGGCGGAGTTGGAAGGAAGCTGGTGAGGGGGTGGCCTGGGGAAGGGGCGGGGGCAGGGAGAGAGGACAGGAGGGGAGGGAGGAGGTCTATCCACCCAGAGGCAACTTCTGAGCTGCCATATTGTCTCTATAGAAGCTTCAGCCAACCCTGCGAGATTTTATACCCCTCCATGAGTCCATCGTGGGCCGGGCAGCTGTCCCCAGCGGAAGCCACCCACCCAAGGGACAGACCTCTGAGGGCATTCCCACGGCTGGGGGAAGAGTTCCGGAGTCCAGGTGCAGGTCTGGGGGGCACAGCTGAGTATCCCCTCCTCACCATCGCCAAGGGCACCCTCCGCCCTCCTCCCTGGACACATGGCCCTGAGGACCCTAATGCCTAATTCCTAGCTGGCTTCAGACCCAGTTCCAAAAGGCAGAGACATCAAACGCGCTAAAACGGCAGAGGAGGGGGCACTGATGCCAGGCGCCTCCACGGTTGGTCACCATAAAGGTAAAAACCGGACAGGAAGCCAGGGTGGGGGCCGAGGCTGGGTCACGCCCCTCCAGACACGGCCATTGGGATGCTGTGACCATTTTGACATTCACACCTATTCCCTGATCATCCAACACAAGCCATTAGACGTCCAGCTTTTTAAATTCCAAAGTAACTTACCCAACATGCAGCCCCCATCCGGCTCCTGACTCACCGTTCCTGACTCCTCTGCCCACCCTGAGCCTCCGGCCTAAGTTCAGGTATGAGATGAAGGTCAGAGACAGAGCAGGAGTCAGGGAACTCTCCTCAGTGCCCTGCTCCCTGAGATCCTACGAGAAACGTATTAGCTAATTAAAATTATGGTTATTAAAAGCCAGTCTTCACTAGAATGCTTTGACGTGTTACCATTTACTCTTCCCAATTTAAAGATTGGGAAACTGAGGCACGAGGAGTTCGGGCAGCTGGTGCAAGGTCAACACAGCTGGTAAATGGGATTTGAAGCCAGGCTCAAGAACCTGCCTTCCTATCTACCCCCACCCCCCAATGCTGCCACTAAGACACCCAGACTGTCTTGGTTCCAATCCCGGCTTCTGCTGGGAGCAGTGGCGCGTACCTATAAACCCAGCTACTTGGGAGGCAGAGGCAGGAAAATCAGGAGATCGTGCCACTAGAGGGAAGACGCTGTCTTTTAAAAATAGGCAATAGCAAAATAAATCCCAGCTCCTCCCCCACTTGCTAACTGTGCAACTTTGGATAAATTACTCAACCTCTCTATACCTCCATTTCTTCACCAGAAAATAGGCTGTGATTGTTTCTACTTTATTGGTTTGTGATAGGATTGAACGGGTTAATATATATGCAATGCACTTAGGGTAGGATAGGGTGGAGTGGAATGGAATAGAATAGAATGGAATGGAGTAGAATAGATAAATAAACTCAAGCCCCAACTCTGATTCATTTCGACTTTCTCAGCTGTTTCTCTTCTAGAAGTTCAAACAGCCCATCTTGAAGTTTTTGGATACTAAGCGCCGAGTTCCTCTGGCCTCTTTGGGCCACCTGCAAGCCACAGGTATTGCTTCTTTTAAATACAAATTCCTGGACATCTCCGCCACCTGTCTCGGGGAAGGGGGCCGGCCACCTTCATATGTAACCATCTCCCCATGTGATTCATATCCACACTGGAGTTTTGACAGGCCCAGCCTCAGCAGTGGCTGGGGACAATTTAACAGTATACGTATCCCAACTGAATGGTTTCTGTTGCCTGGCAACCAGGTGAAAAACCCAAGTTTGCAATGAAACAGAGCCTTCCCAAGCACAAATAGAAAGAAGAAGCAGGTGGGAAATGAAGTAGGGTGGAGGGGAGGAGGATTAAAAATATTTTTAAGTCATTCCAGATCAACATAGAACATGGGCTTCATAGTTACATAGTAAAAATGTATTTATTATTATTTTTTTTATCGTACCTGCCACCAAATCCCCAAGAGAACAAAAACAGGGAACGTGTTTACAATCAGAGGGATTTCAACCCACATCACTAAAAACAAATCACTTTAGGGATGGCCCCTAGAGGAAAATGAGACTAAGTTAATCAAATTGCAGAAGATTTTAGACCCACGTAATTAGTAAAGTGACTAAGAAAACATGCACACACAACTCACATTCTTTATATTACTAGATTTGAGGTGGGGGATACAGGGTGGGTGGTCTCCTGGCCTCCCTGTACCTGGATTTTCTCTGCTGGGACATGGAGTTGATATGGGAGGCCTCGCTCAGCTCCTTCCTGATTTACTGTGTCCAGGAATTTTGAGATATGCAAGGATAGTAAGCTCCACTATCCTCTTTCCTTCCCTTCCTTGTCTTGCTCCTAGGGATAGGGACATGTAAAGCAACTATGAAGTGTGAGAAAACCTCAG